CTGCTGCCCACTGAGCACTGGTGTCAGGGGACCATGACTGCAAGCTGTCTTTGGACTGGCTGGTTTTAAACACTGGGAGCGTGCACCATTGCCCTGATCAAATCACTTCAGCTCCTCAGGGTCTATCCTCTTCCTAAACAGACAGCACATAATGACCATAGAAAATAAAGTAAAAAAGAACGATAAATATGGATTCATGAAGAGCCTGGGCTTTGTAACCAGATAGACTTAGGTTCCAGTCCCAGTCCTGCCATTTACATGTGACCTTAAAGTTTTCATTTCTTTTTTTCTCTCTCAAATTAGCCTTTAAAATGCCAGTTTGTGTCATGCCCCCAAGTTGAACAGCACAAAAGAGTATACAGTCGAAATGAACTCTTACTTGTCTCCCAGTTCCCCTCTTCATTTCCTTTCTCTAGTGGCAACCACTCAACAGTTTCTTGTGTGTCTTTTAAGAACTTTTCTGTGCCTGCAAAAACACATATATGTGTAAGTATATCCTTGTTCCAAAACACAAATGTCTTACCCACACATATTTCTTTTTTACTTAATAATGTTAGAGTATATTTCATATTAGCACATATAAACCATTTTTTTAATTGATTGTTCAATACATTACAGAGCTCATGATATATCATCTTTCATACATTTGACTCAATTGGGTTTTTATTCTTCTTGTGCCTGCATTGTATCCCAGTGAGTACAGGAGCCATGATGGAATAAGTGTTCTATGGTACTTCTGTCTAATTTTAATTGGCTTCTAATCAGTTGCTATAAATAATGCTACAATAAACATCTTGTACATTCATATTGAAGCATCTATACTGTTGGTTCAGGTGGACTATCTGTATTGAGGTGGGTGGGCATTTCAATTTTTTTTTACAGATATTGCAAAATAGGGTAAACATCTCAAATTCTCTGAACCTTGTATCTCGCTCTATAAAATGAGAGTAAAAACATTACTATCTCATAGGGTTGTTGTGAGGTTTAAGTGAGTTAAGAATCATAAATAGACTCAGTGGGTATAGCAAATTTAAATGTAACACTCCAGTGAAAATGAAAATAAACAATGATAGTGTTTTAATATAAGTATATCCCCAATATTACACGGGACACACTTAGACTAAAAAAATAATTGGTTGTTTATCTGAAATTCAAATTTGATGACATTTCATTTATTTTTTATTGGCAACTCTTACACGAAGGGATCAGTACAGTCCCTAGAATGTAATAAGCACTAAATAAATGTTGGCGGCTATAATTCTTATTAGACTTTCAGAAAAATGCTACTATTCAACAAATGATTTTGGAACTATTGATTTTATATTCTTTAATTTGTTTATTATTCATTCAATAAGTATTTATTTAGTGGCTGTCATGACCTAGGCATTATTCTAAATCCTAAGGATACAGAGGTGAACAAAATAAAGTCCTTATGGGCAGAAAGTGCTTTCATGTTTTATATGGCGTATGCTGGAGACTATAGAAGAAGCCAAGGCTGGTGTAAGTGGACTGATTGATTAATTGGTGAAGGTTAACTCTATTCTCTCTATAGTACCCCAACACTTCTTCTGAAGCTTTTAAAAAGTCTATTTTTTTTCAGGAATTCAAGTGTCTAATGGGAAATTAGGAGTATTAGAATATGGAAAAGATGACAGACACCTTAACGAGCCTGTCAAAGGTCCCCTCTTGCGTACCTTAAGCTTCAGCAATGGGCTTGGTATCTTGGTCAAAGTAAACTGTTGATTTGTAGCCTTGGGAGCCAACACTTCAGTGACATAGAGCATGGTTAGTGCCATCTCACTCTCAGACTTATATTTTCTCCAAGAGGTTTTCACCTAAGCCTAGCAGCTAATAGTGTACTGTGTATCATCAGGAAAAAGCAAGTTTAATTTATTTATCAAAATTATTAGGTGAAGTTGCTATCTCTCATCTCCTTTTCTTAGAACTCAGAGTGGGTACATAAAAAGTTTTTTTCCCCCCTCAAAGTAGTTCTTATTGTCATTCTGTGGCACTTGAACTCTTTATTTTTATGGTGCCTTTAGAATGTAAATTATATGAACTATTTTCTTAAATTTTGGCTTATGTATCAATTGGCTTGTGAGTTTGCTAAGGTAAAGGCTGTCTTGCTACCCTATTTTTAAGAAATCTGGTTCTGAAAATTGATCCACATTTTAAAATCTTGGAATTTCAGTGTGATCAAATACATGAACTTGTTTGCAGGATATTCAGAGATGGCAATTCATCTACACAAGCACAAGGGCTTTCACTGACAAAGGTAAAAGCCAAGTTCAAAGATACTGAGTCCTTGGGGCCAAGTGTCATCTTCACAACCCATGAGGCCATTGTGTGTCCTTCTCCAGAGCTATGATGCAAGAATGCTTAAAACACCAGCCTAGCAAACAGCTGCAACACACATGGGGAACCAGGGAGTGTCTGTTTTTATTGTTTTGGGGTAATGACGAAACCCAATCACCATACAACTTAAAATTTTAAAAGTCCAGAAATATTTTGAAGATGAGCTTTAAAGAAAATCTTCCTGCATGTCCCTTTAATTCTGCCGGGATGTCTTTGATCTTGTATTGTTCATGGTGGTGATAGTGGGATTCAAAATATAGACAATTTAAATTGATTTGCAGGTCTTTATTAGTTTCTGCTTCTTTAGTAAATTTGGATATTTTGGTAGTTATGACCCTTCATGCTCATTAAATATATCTCTCAGTTCCTAGTTAGGTGCAGTTAATATGTCTGGTAAGGAAGAACAGGAAATGATATTTTAAAAAAATTCACACCTGTAGTTGTATTATACACATTTATTCTTCTATAGATACATATCCAAATAAGGGATTAACTAAGAAATCTCACATRACTTATGATTTACCAATATCTCCAGGCCTCTTTTCTGCAAAATTTGAGCTACATTTTTAGTGTTATTTTCTCTTCCTTAAAATAATATATTTTATATTTCTTATCTTACTCTGCTTTCAATTTCTGGTAACTTTGTCAAGTCACAGATGACTTTCTAGCATAATGCTCTYTTCTTGTCAGGGCTCTGTTCACAAATCTGACAAATGTCTGCTTGTTCATGGTGTAGGTTATTGATTGTCCAGAGCTGTCAGTTGGACAACTCTGGAGTCTGGATCAACATCTAGGGAATACCACTTGCTGTTTCCTGTGCAGTCCTTCCTGAACTTATAGCATGAAAATAGGAAGAATAAGAGTTAGGAAATGTAATTCATTCCTCCCCCTTGTATCGGGGAGGGGAGGGGGGATAGTAGAGGATAGGAAAGGCAGCAGAATACAACAGACATGAGTATATCAATATGTAAATCAATGGAAGTGTAACTGATGTGATTCTGCAAGCTGTATACGGGGTAAAATGGGAGTTCATAACCTGCTTGAATCAAATGTGAAATATGATATATCAAGAACTATGTAATGTTTTGAACAACCAACAATCAAAAAAAATTWAAAAAAAAAAGAGTTTGGAAACGGAACTTAGTATCATCTCAGCTTCCTGAAACAGATGCACTTTCAATAGAGACTCCAGGGCAATTCAGTAGCAGTGTAATTTCTATAAATGACACGATATCCTTCTCCATCCATTCATGTCTACTATTTCTGATAGGCAGTCCCCTGAGAAACGTTCCAAAGGAGGTATCCCTGGGAGAAGTAAACCAACGCATAATCCATACCTGTAAAGATAAATAAAGTGAGATTTACAAGGCTTCCCAAGTTCCCCCATTGTCATCGAGCTAGATAAAGTGCAGAGAAGCATGGCACTGGAGAAATGATTGAATTCTGGCTACAGATGAAAATGCTGCAATTGAAAATTTTCCAGAACAACATGTACTTGGATCTGTATTAAAGAAAAATTCTTTGAGTGTTTAAGCCAAATGACCCAGCAGGGTTGATAGTGTGAGGCATATTTCACAGTTGTATAAATATTTAAAATGGTTTTCCAGCCTATAAAGCAAGTAAATGAGGTTTTTTTAAAAAAACAAAAACACAAAAGTACACAATGAAAGTAAACTGCCCACTTTAACTTACAGGGGAATCCTATCCTACGCAGCCCGGCTTTCCCTTCTAAGAGGGAACCTTTGAGGAAGAAGTGTGATGAGGGCCCCCAGCTTGGAAAACAAGGCGGGTTTACCTTTCAGGGAGTTTGAGAAGGGATGATAGCATTATGGCTTCCTGCCACAGGTGGCCTGTTTCCAGTCTCTCTGGCTTTGGGTAGCTCCAACTAACTTGTCACCAGGGGCCAGATCTGATGGACACAATTGCTTTTCATCATTAACCCTTTGAACTTGGTGCAGGGTGGGCTTGGGACTCTGCTATATAGATAGACTATCTATATCAAAGAAAGCTGTGCAGCATCTCAGCTGTGTCGTTCTGGGTCCTGGTTCATTGGTCCAAGCCATCCTTCAGCCAGAGTGCTGGGCAGCGTCTGTAGGTGGACTCTCTTGGTCTTCCAGTCTTCTTCTTTCATCCATTGTGGTCCTTTCCAAATTTTTATTCTTTTTCCCTTTTACTTGTATTTTTACTATTGCCCAGGACTACTCTCTCTTACCACTGTCTTCCCATCTCTTTTTGCCTCTAGTTAAATAGACTTCAGAGACAATGGCAATGATAGTTCTATATTTATTAATAGGGAATTTGAAAAGAATGTTAATGATTGGGTTTGTTGAAAGTTCATAGCTATTGTATAAATCTGTCATCATGAGGTGGTGAAAAGAGTACTCAGCCATGAGTTAGGCATTTTGAATTTTGCCAAGGGGTATCATTAACTCACTGCGTATCCTTGGGCAAATCACTTAACCTCTCTGAGCCTTTATTCCCATATTAAAGAACATTGTTATGAGAGGCCCTTTTGAATTTAACATCCTAGGAAACCTTATTTGCTTCCTCCCATTGCATGTTACTGTACTGTGAATACATTCCCTTGATTATACTTTTTATTCTTCTTCATTCTTGGAAAAAGTTAATTTTATTTTTGTTCTTAGACTGCAGAATGAAAAATGGATGAATGTCAAAGTGGGAGACATCGTTAAATTAGAAAATAACCAATTTGTTGCTGTGAGTATTCAATATTAATTGAAGACTGTATCTTAGATGAAAATAGCATATAGATAGAAATAATTATATTTAGTAAATCCATACTAATATAGGGTAATTAAGGATTAATTAATCCTTAATTAATTAATGTATTGTAACAGTACAAAGTCTCAATTATAGACTCTTTAAAATATATTAATTTATTACTTTCAGTAATGTGGTCAGATAAGGCTGAGTAATTATCACCTTGTGTACTTCCTTTGTGATATTTTACATTGATAGATACAAGAGATTTTTAAATCAGGATGTCAATAAATTTATGTAAATAAAACGTGTTAAAGTACTTATGAGTATCTTAGAAACAATTTGTTTTCAAGTATTTTCAATGCTATTCCTTAATACTATGATTAATACTGTTAATTTGTGGTATATTTGAAAACAACAATCTAGAGAAAAAGAAAAAATGTATTCTCAATTTTGAATAATCAGAAAATGTTTATTTTGTGCTGACTTAATATTAATGAGGCCTCCATTTGCATATCAAATGCACTATCTATTCTCAAGCTATGTTGGATATTAAAATTTCCTTAATAAAATTCAGTTCAATCTCCAAAAATATATGCAACTAACTATAGTTCAAATTAAATTTATAGTGACAAAAGTTACCCAGTTTAGAGACTAAAAATTCTAATTATTATAGGGTTCATGTCAAATGTATATATATTAATCTATGTCTCTATATCTCTCTATATTATGTTACTTATGAAAATTTTTGTGTTGACTGCAATTTTGTGAATCAAATTGTATTCTTCATTAAATTTGAGACATTTTATGACAGGGAAAAATATGATCCCAAGATCTATTTACAAGAACAATAACCCAGTTAAGAGTTCTAAACATGCACTTTCTGAAACAGTCTTCTTTCATGAATGCTCCATCTGCACTTCCTGACTTGTATGGAAGAGCCCAGGCTAGGAACTACCCAGTGGACAGGTCAGGCACAGAAGAGTTCACCATCGAAATGGAGGAACACTTATGTCGCTGGTGACTTCAGAAAATAACTGAGAACCCAAATAAGCAAAAAGGTGTCAGGGCAGCTAAAACAGAGGTCTCAAAGTCCACACACTGTGGCTTGGGCTCCTCATATGTAGGGCAGTCTGCCAGGTTCTCATTCACAATCTATTTACTTTTATTTTAGACAATTTAAATTACTTGTTTGACCTTTTTTCCAGATCATTAAAAATTAGGAACACTAGGTTGTGGGATTGAGGCCGATGGTAACTGAATACCGAACTGAGAGCTGAATCTTTGCTCTGTTCCTTCAGTGAGAGCAAATACTTTATCTTTTTTGCCTTTGTTTTCMCCATGTGGCCAAATTAGGGTGCCAGACCACTGTAAGGTCTCAAATATCCCTTCTAACCTTTACCTGCTGTGATTGTGTAAACTGAGATTACACCAAAGAATTCTTGATTTGTCTGGTCTCTGACATCTAATGTCATGTTGGATTAGAGGGGGCATTTAGTAAATGTTGATTGAATGAATAGATGTCAATCTATGTAAGAAAGAAGACAGAAAAAAAATGAAAAGTGGATACAAATTTTCAAAATTCAGGGTGTTCTATATTAATGGGATACAAATAAAAATGTCTAGAATGTCTAGATGCCCTTATTAAACAAAGGTTACCTACATTCAGAATATATTTTTTAAAAGAAAGGGCCCCACGTAACTCATTTTAGTTTTACTCTCATGAAAATGATTGCAGTGAAAGAGTTTTTGGTGCTTCTAAGTGAATAACCTTTTTTTTTTTTTTGACTTGCATATGTGAAATTCTAAGATGCAGGCATTCAGTTTTTTTTTTTTTTTTTTTTTTGCAACCGTTTATCCCCAGTGGTTCTCGAGGAAATACAGTATACATTAAAATATGCCACACATTTAACTTTCATTTTACATGGAGTTGAATATTTCAGGGGCAATGCTAGTCAGTGTCTCAAATCTAATTCCATAGGACCTCATGGCCAGCATTCTGCCTCCAACTTGCCTTCTATCTTTGATATTCTAATTTCTCTTTCCTTTGGCCTTTGTTTTTAACTCAGTTATATTTTCTATGTTATAGCATATATGCTTACTTACTATTGCAGTACCTTCAGTGAAGTGAGACACAGAAGTGCAAATATCAGATACAAGGAAATCAGTTCTATGGGTGCATCATTAACATTGGTTTAAAAAGGAATGATTACAAATTCCCATAAAGTTAGTGATCTATGTGGCTCAGTGCTATCCAATATAACTTTTTGTAATAAAGTAATTGCTGTATAATTGTTTTGTCCAATGCCATATTCAGTATCTTTGTGTGGCAAGTGAATAGTAGAAATGCAGGTAGTGCAACTGAGGACTGAGTTTTGCCTTGTGTTTAGTTTTAATAGCTGCATGTGACTTGTAGCTACCATATTGGATAATATTTTTAAAAATATGTACTGAAGAAGCAGCTTCTTGCTAAAGTATAAAGGTAAACACTATTTTCTGTTTAACAAAAGTAAATGGTGAGTGTTGTTTCCCCACAACTATTTGTGGGGAAGAAATATGGGCAAGGATGTTTTCTGACCAGAGGAAGAGCCTGAATAAATGAATAAATGCTCTTCTGGCCATCATTATTATTTCCTCTCTTGTTCTTTTTTATTGCTGTTGTTTTTGTATTCTCAAATTAGTTAAATTATAAAGACTAAAACAAGGAGGTATCCAGTACATATTAGTAGTTATTCAACATGTGCTTACTAGGTCTGAAATTTAAAGTATTATCTGTAATCTCAGACACTTTCATTTTCATGATTTAATTCTAATTTTTGACAATATGCATAAGCCATTTAAATTTTGTTTTTTATTTGTAGACTAAAAATAATGTTGAGTAGGATGAAGATGAAGAACTGTGTAAAAATTAAAAGGAGATTTAAGTGTGGTATTCGAATTAATTTTACAAATTTATCTTTCCATCAGTTTTTGAAATTGCTATTCCAACATTCTTGCACAATTGTAGTTTTAGATTTTTAATACCAACAAAGCAAAACATACATGAGTTGTATTGCAGTGATTTAGTAGCCCACCAGGGGAAAAAGTATTCGTTTTTGGATCAGAAGTTCTGAATTCTGGTTCCATGTCTGTAATTTAAGGTCTTAGTGTCCATAAATCTGATGTCAAGAAAGCCTATGGGCGCTATGTGAATTAATTTAAATCACCTGGTGTGTATGCAGGAGTTCATTCCTTCTTTGCTGCTGGCCAGATCTGACCTCCCCATGCATACCATGGGAACAACGTTACCCACTCACACGGTGTTAAGGATTTGAATAAAATGACCTAATTATGAGGGAGTGTTTTGTAAATTCTTAAAGTATTATATAACTTTAAGATGTTATTATTTCTTGAGGTTTTGCTTCCTTTATTCTTTAATTTCACAAATGTTATTTATACCTAATAAATTTCTGAAGACAATGTCTTTGGCTTTGAGGGCTCAAAGATGTTCAGTGGATTCTTTTCAAGTTTTCTATGATGGGAATATTCATTTCAGGTTTCCATGAGGCAATTGCTTGGCTTTCTGTTGCCTGTGAAAGCCGGGGAAGGGGCTGCTGAGTTAGAAAACACTGTTTCATGGGAAACAGAACTGAGTCTCCCCTGACAGGGAATGGGAAAAAGATACCAAAAATTGATAAAAGAAAGTAAAAAAAAAAAAATAGGAGTAGATGGGAGGTGGTTCTGGTTAGAATTGTCAACTTTTTTTTGCCTGGCCTATTTTTGCATTTGGATAATMATGCTTTCCCTTTTCTGTTCCTTACTCCTGCTACTACCTCTGCCTGGGGGATTCTGCTTTATAGTGCTTCTAGAATCTTCCATGATGCCCTTTCTTAGCTACCAACACAGTGTTCTTTCTCATTTGAACTCTACCCATAGTTCTTTGTTAGTATGACCCTGAGAACACTTACCATGTTCTATCTTCACTATACTATGAAATCCTTCAAGCAAAGAAGTTTTAATTCATTTCAGTGTGTGCTTCAGTCTGCCTGGATTCAAATTCTGGCTCTCCCACTTCCTACCTAAATAGCTTCAGACAAGTTACTGAACCTCTCTGGGTCTCACTTTACTCATTTGTAAAGTAGGGATAACAAAAAACCTACACTATAGGACTTCCATAGAGTTAGATCAAGTATCACCTATAAAGTCCTCAGGGAAGTGAGAGAAACAGAAAGTCCTCACTAAATATTGGCTATTGGTGTCATAGATACCACCACTGGATCACAAGTTTCAGGATCAACCACAAACCCAGTCTCTTGCGATTTACTGGAAGGGTCATCTTGATGTGAGACTTGTAGAGTTGGGGGCTGGTGGACCCCAAGGCTACTCATGTTGCTCCAGCTCCTGGTCCAGCACCTCTGACAAATGTGTGATCAGACACTGCTGTCACTACAATTCTCTTGCTCTTTTCTTTTTGGAATTATTTCTGATGGACTAGAAGGTGGGAGAAAGATGGCATGCTGTTAAGTGTGTGACCACTCATCCTGCCAGATGCCCCCGCCACTTGTGCTTTCATCCTTTTCAATGACAATGGATTAAAAATACCATGAAGGGAGAGCTTCACAAAAGGGACTACCAGGGCTCAGCTATGGGGAAGGGAGAATGGAGGATGAATGAGGGGAGGCAGGCCAGAAATCAGGGAGTGGGAACCAAGAAGTTTGAAAGAATATTTAAAAAGAGAGAAAGAAAGAAAGAAAGAAAGAAAGAAAGAAAGAAAGAAAGAAAGAAAGAAAGAAAGAAAGAAAGAAAAAGGTAGCAATGCAGGGGACAGGAAGATGCGGGCAAGGAAGTCCCAGATTCCAGGGAGACCAAGCAGAAAAAGTGAGGCTAGAAACCATTGTAGGTGGGTAGGTCTGTTTCTACTTGCTCCAGAGAGAATCCAGCCGCCAGGTGGCAGTGGTGCCTCAGTCACATGTTGGGAGCCCACTGTGCACAAAGAATCCTCCCCTTGTTTACCCCAAAGTAAGTGTGAACACAGCAGAGCTCAGTATGAAACAGTAACGCTGGCTCACTCTTTCTATGTAGACTTTAGAAGAAAAGCTAGGCACAAGTAGATATCTTTCTTACACACCACAATTTTTTTCAATTGCTGATGATCAGAATTAGAGAATTCTGGATTTTGTTTAAAATGATCCTTTTAGGCTTAAGGGAGGAGAGTCAGAGGCCCAAAGAGCATTAATCTCTTCTGCTGTCCTGCTGTAGGCCTTTACACATTGAAATTTAAGTGTGAGAAGTAAGATCAGGGTGAATTTTCCAAAATTTGTACTTTCCTTTTAGATCAGGATAGGTAATTTTTAGTTCAAGAACAGCCTACATTTTTGACACACTCTCTTTATGGGTTTGCTCTGTTTTACTCTGTGACAAGTAAGAAAATAATTCCTGCCTCAAGAAGCTTCTGTGGCTTCTTTGTTCAGAGTTGAGGAGGAGTCTTGATAATACAAACCCATTTATTCCCACGAGGGCTGGCACTAAGTTTTTCCAGCAGTTTCAGTCTAATCTAGACAAAACAACACACACACACACACACACACACACACACACCAATTTTTGAACTGGAAATTTAAAATCTAGAGACAATAAAACAAGTGGATTGATTATAAATTTAACCTCCAGGTCTTGAGAATGAAAGTTCTAATATTTTTAAAAATAAAGTAAGAAGATTTCATAGATTTGGAATGCTACATTCAGACATAACTACAAAATTGTTACGCTAATGTCTCAAAATGACTAGCCTAAAATTTTAGCTAATTTTTGAAGACATTCAAACCCTTCAGAATGTCATAAAAATGCTTATTTTAAAATAAAATTTGAAATTTGAAATAAAATAGTTTCCCAATATAGAAAGCTACCAGAATTCTAAGACTGCGTTTTGATAGGTAATTTTCAAAGCTCAAATGGACAGAAGACTAAAACTATTTATCTTAAAAGAAAGAATACTGGGTGTGGTGGCACATAGCAGTAATCCTACCAATGCAGGAGGCTGAGGCCAGCCTTAGAAACTTAGCAAGACCCCATCTCAAAATCAAAAATAAAAAGGGCTGGAGATGCAGCTAAGTGGTAGAGGACCCCTGGGTTCAATCCCTTGTACCTTCCCCCAAAAGACAAACTATTAAATGTCTAAATTTTGTCCATTGTCTTTTATTATATTTTCTATTCTACCTTGCTCTCTTGCTTAGTCCCACTTTTCTTTCTCTTTCTTTACTATATACCATCTTGTTCTTTTTTTCTCTTTGCTTATCTTTTAAGTCTCTCATCTCTACTTCTTTGTCTTTCTTATTTTTTCTCTAATTTCTTCCACCTTCATCTGTCTTCCTTATCCTCTTTGCCTGCTGCCTGCTCTTAACTGGTCCTACTAGATAATCAAAGTATGTACCCATAAATATTTCCAATTATTCATTAGTGACATATTTTCCATGAATAATTATGAAAACAAAATATATAATTTATATGTGTCTTTCAAAAAAAGTAAAGCAAGCGGCTATTAATTTATATGATACCCCAGCACTTCCTCCTATTATGATGGTCAAGGGTGTGGAAACAGGAACACTGAGGGTGGGAGGGCTTGTCCAGGGGTACCACATGGAGGGGGTACAGGATCCTACCCCTTTCACTTTGTTCCTCAGGCTGTGCTGGCAAGTAGAAGAGAGGTGATGCAGCAGAACAGACCTTCAGCCAGTCTCCCCTTCTCAAGTATTCTTTTGTCATGTTTTCTTAAAATAGGCTGATTTGCTGCTTCTATCAAGTAGTGAGCCACATGGTCTGTGCTATATTGAAACTGCAGAGCTCGATGGGTAAGTTATTAAGTTAGAATACTTGATTAGGTTGGTTTTTAATTTATTTAAAAGTAATGTCTTTATAAGCAGGGCTTAAATCTTATTCTTTGTTTCCTTGGAAGACACAAGAGTCTAAATTGCCAAGTCCATTGTTAATTACTTTGCAGTAATTTTGAAGATTACTTTTCTCTTGAATTTATTTTGAAAACTCTGACTTTTTAGTTTATTTTCTTTCAGAAACAGTGAGCTAAACATGTATATGTGGATAATTTCATGCGGGGATTCTTCAGTGAGTTGCCTTAGAAGTTTTTGTTTGTTTTAAGTTCAAGTCATTTTCTAACAAAAATGAGAGGGCTGGAGATCAAGAGTTCCCTGAGGAAGAAAGGATGGAAAAGCAACCTTGGATCTGTGTTAATGAAGATACAGAGAAAGAAGAGAGAAAAGGATTGTGATGCAGTTTTGACATTGATGTTAATTTAGAATTTCGTTATAGACCATATAGCAGGTCTGCTTCATAGGATTCAATTTGTCTGTTTGGCATAAAAAATATTTAATGAACTTACATTTTCATCACACTGAATAATTTGTGTGTGTTTTTAGATGGTTTATTTCATTTAATCCTGATATAGGTACTATATAAGTCCTACTGTACAGACGAGGATACCAAGGTTTTAGAGAGACTTGTTTATTTGCTCTGAACTCCTAAAGAATAAAGATAGAACTCAAAGCTGGCAGTCTGATACCAGAACCTATGATTTTCAACAGTGGATCCTAAGTCATTTTCATATTGAACTATTCAAACAGTTTGGCCTGCATGATCCTACCCCTGGTTTTGGCAGAACAGTTGCAGACATAGCTAAAGCAGTGCTGAGAGGAAAAATCATAGCACTAAGTGTATATTACTTGAACAAAGAAAAAGTCTCAAATCAATAATCTCCCATCTCAAGAACATAGAAAACTAAAAAAAAAAAAAAAAAAAAAACAAAAACCCAAGTAAGCAGAAGGAATGAGAAAATGAAGGTAAGAACAAAAACAAAGTGAATTTGAAAACAGAAAAATCATAAAGAAAATTAATGAAACACAGTTCTTTGAAAATATTAATTCAATTGATAAACCTTTAGGAAGACTGATAAAGTAAAAAAAAATGAGATAAATTATCAATATCCTGCATAAACCAGGGGAATTCCCTCCAGATTCTAAAAACATCAGGTGGATAATGATAATGAAGTATTATTACAAATAGCTCTACACACATAAATTTGATAACCTAGATGAAATGAACTACTTCTCAAAAAAAAAAAAAAAACAGACCATACATCAAACATGAGATAAATAACTTGAATAGGCCTGTAACTATTAAGGAAATTAATTCAAATGCAAAACATAGAACTATATGATTTGGGGCTAGTCAGAGTTAGATTTGACACAAAAAACAGGATCCATAAAAAAGAAAATTTAATAAATTGGACTTCATCAAATTAAAGGCTTTAAGAGGATAGAATAATAATCTATAGATCAGGAGAAATTATTTGCAAAGCATCTGACAAAGACTTATATCTTGAATATATAAAAATATTTTCAAAACTCAACAGTTAAAAAACATAACAGTCTAACTGGAAAATTGGCATATGACATGGACAAACATTTTGCCAAAGAGGACATATAGGGGACCAATAAGCACATGAAAAGTTGCTCAACATCATTAGCCATTAGGGAAATTAAAATTAAAACCACAATGATATATCAGTATAGATCTAACATAATAGCCAACATAAAAAAAAGTGACAACTCTGGGTGCTGGTAAGGATGTCAAGAAATAGGATCATTCATACATTGCTTGTGGGAATGGAAAACAATGGGACTGTTGCTTATGAACTAAACACACAACTACCATGCAACTCAGCAATTTGACTTTGGGGCAGTCATCTCAGAGAAATGAAGACTTCTGTTTACACAAAAACTTGTACATGAATGTTTATGGTAGACTTATTTGTAGAGTCCAAAGAGGAAACAAGTTAGACATCTTTCAGCAGGTGAATGGTTGAACAATCTGGTACCTCCATATCCTGGACTGCCACTCAGCAATAAAAAGGAACTAACTACAGACACAGGAAATACCTGGAATGAGTCTTCAAACAATTGTGCTGAGATGGAAAACCAATTCCAAAGCTAATATTCCAAAGCTATGATTCCATTTGTACAACATTTCTGAGAAGGTAAAATTATAAAAATGGAGAACAGAGTAGTGGTCTCCGGATATTAAAGATGGGGTGGGAAAGGCAGTAAAGTGGTTGTAGCTCTAAAGGGAAACCCAAGGGATCTTTGTAGTGATAGAAATGTTCTGTATATTGACTGTGTCACTGTCAATATCTGGGTTGTGATACTACATGATAGTTTTGCAAGGTGTTACCAATAGGGGAAACCGAGTAAAAGGTAGGATTTTTCCATATTGTTTGTTATGCTGAAAATGATTTTGAACTTTATTAAGATATTCATACAGATTAAAAAGAGTGTGGTGTGGCACTGAAGGAGTTAATCAGGAGTCTTTAAAAGTAGATTTTTAAAGTAAGTAAAGCCTCTGTGTGATTATTCTTTCCCTTTAAATTTTCACATTCGAAGCTAGAGTGAGATAATGGAGAGGATTCTGAGGAAGCATCTCAAAATGATGATGAACTTCCATGAATAACAGATGTAGAGTAGGGTCAGAGAACTAGAGCTATCCAGCTTAGTTGGTGTGATTGTTTCAATTATTAGAAAAGTAGTTCAGATGGATGGGCATGTGGTTCTGTAGCCTTTACACCACTTACCTTCCTCTTTCTTGTCCAGCAAGCCCTGCTCAATTTCTGCCTCATCTAGGAAGTTCTTTTTGACTACTTTAATCCCTCATCACCTCTACCACCTAGGAATGGGCATATTTTGATTAGTGAGATTGTTTCCACTAATAACTTCAGTTATACATCCAATTTAGGGTTTTCTGAAGAAGGCTATTTTACCAGTGGGCATTTTCGCATTGGGTTCATGTTGTCCTCATATCATTGTGAAACTGGCTGATAGAAGGTCAGATGGAGTGCCCTCTTGGATAACTGCTTCTTGTCTCTTTATACTCAATATTTCATAGGTTGGCATATAATTCCACACAGTGATATTTACTGTTAAATCTCTTTGTTTCCTCCAAGAGGATAATCTTTTGGGGAAGCATTGAAGATTCTAGGTGACTATGCTAAGTATTCAATCAATGTTTATTGACTGAATGAACCCATGATTAAACATTTGTGTAAAAGGTAGAACTCTAATTTAAAGAGAAAAGGCATTATAAAAGTGGAGAATAGATTAGCGGTTGCCAGGTATTGAATATGGGGTGAGGAGCTACAGTAGAAGAAAATTAGACTGAACTCCGTGAGAAAACTGCAATAGCAAGCCCTTGAACCCAAGATGGGAGTGATGGCTGTGGGATTACTGCTGGGCACGTCCTGAATAACAGAGAGCCATCTGTCCAATATATGTGTGGTCCTCCCTGTAAGAAGATGACCAGCTCTTTGTGACCTGCTGAGCCTGTCTCGTATTATTTGAGACTTACGGGTTTCTTGGATTGAGTCTCCAAGAAAAAGAAAGCTGMATTCCTTTTCCCATTTTAATTTCAGCTACTGTAAAGTTAGCCATGACCATCTTTTGCAAGTAAAACTCCTAGGTAGATATTAGAATCTGGAGTGATACTGGACTGCTTTATTTGGCAACTGTGTTCCCATTCCTAATGTGTTTTATAACTCATGCATGCTGTTTGACTAGGTTCGAATGAAACCATATTTATTATGTTCTCTGTTCTTTCAAATTGCAAAACAGATTACTGTGGTGTTATACAGATGTGTGGTGGGTGGAATGCCAACTCTTAGGAGCCTGAGAAGTCCCACCCATTTTCCCAAGACAGTGTGAGAAGTGTGAATGACATTCAAAGTGAGGTTCCCTGAGTCTCGAGTTGGGTTTTGCATGTGTTGTATCCACCTAATTGCATTGGGTAGGATGCTGTTAGGCTGTTCCATATAAAAATTCATGTTCCATCATTTATTTTACAGGGAAACAAACCTAAAAGTTCGTCATGCATTATCTGTTACCTCTGAACTTGGAGCAGATATTAGCAGACTTGCAAGGTTTGATGGTAAGTGTTTGAAACAGTTAAAGAACAATCTCAAAACCAAAAAGAAAAAGTGACAAGCTAGTTATCTGAGAACCAATTTCTATACTTCCTGGAAGGACATAAAATTTTCTYGGCATCAAGACTGTCATCTCTTCTCATGCTAAGGAGTAACAGTGTGTACCAATGGGAGAGTGGCTTCCTCAGTTCATTTTTTATTTCACCTTGTTTCCTTTCATGTAGATCTCATTCCCTTCAGTCTTACAATGCACTTCTGTTGCTCGACCTTGGCCTCCCTGGAGACCTTTGTGGACTTGCTGGGGGTGAATGCAGGCCACACTCTTATTTCTAGCTCCAGATCTAACCATCCCTCCATTTTCAACAAAGACCTAATGCTAGACCTAACCCAACTTCCTGGAGACAGCCATCTTTGCCTCATATATTTCTGTATCTGGTATGGTACCTGGTGTAATGTCTTCTGTTGCCTTTAATTTTAGACCCTGGTTTTATTATCACCACCTTCACACTGTTTGACCCAGTGCCCTGCTCCTCAGCAGTGGTATTTTGATTCTATTCTTTTCCAACTGTTATCTTGTCCTTTTCTGTTTAAAGTTATTTTTAAGTATTCACGGAATAGCCTCTAGGTATTGTCCACTTTAGGGATATTTATATTTCATAATTAAGAGACCACAAAATAATACAATTCTTCAAGAGTCAAGGGAAAAAAGACATTATTAGTAGGGTTTTAGGCCCATGAGAGGCCATAGGCCTTCCTGCTACCCCTCAATGGTCTTTTGCTTTGCTCACTTGTAAATCTGGTTCTGAATACTAATATTTTCATACATATTGGTTTTATTTACTAGTGAGTCTATGAATTTGAGACAATCTTTCAGAAAATTGAAAGAGTGCAGCTCACATCACGGTGATGAGGTAGTAGAAAGAGGCTCCACTCTCCAGATACTAAAGGAAAATGTGGACAAGTTTCTTAGTACCCTCTCTTCAGTTAAAGTAAAGCACAACTAAGTTTACATTGTAAAGTTTCTTCAGTGCATAGCTTAGAACTTATATTGTCTGTGCTTTGCATTTGCTTGTAAACTCTCTGATTTTATTAATATCTTAATCTCTCTTAAATGAATGCTATTATAACAGATGTTTATAGAAAAAATATTCTTCCAAATTGAGATTTAAGTCAGGGGACTAGCCAGGAAACTTTGAATGGCCCAAGACATATTTAGATTAGAGTAAAACAAATTACGCATTTTCTAACAAAGTAATTTTTTTTCAATGAAATTTTAGTGTTCTATGAATCCAAGGAAAGTAAATTGTTTTCATGAATCAAAAAACTTGCTTAAAATATCTCATTGAACATTTATCAAATCCTAAAAGAGTAACCTAAATATAACTTACGATTACTCATTCCTTTCCTGGCAGAACTTTATACTTGGATACCTCTATTAATCTATAAGGAGGTAGATATTTCCTTAACAAATGAAAAGCAGAAAATGATTGTTATAATTATGTAGCTCTTTTTCATAGATATTTGCACAGAGAACCTACACTATGATGCAATTACAAAAAAACCCTGAAATCTTGGCGACCTAAACACCACAGCGTTGTATTTCTTGCTCATGTCACATTCTGATGTGGGTTGGGGAGACTTCTCCGTCTCTTGGCCTTGATACTGAGACTAATGGTCTCTCAGGTCACCACAGCAGGGTAAGGGTGAGAGGAAGAGACACAGTGGCTTTTAACTGCTCCCTCCTCTCCTATTTCATGGGCTATTGTGAGTTATCTGGCTCTCATCTAACTGCAAGGGAGGAAATAACAGATATGGGTATTTGTTGAGCACTGCCTCTGCCACACCCTTCTAAGAATTGTGGCTGTGGAGGTCAATGCCAGGATCAATGATCCAGCCAGGCTGGGTTAGGTAGATTTCTTACATGGAACCGTAGGATTGAGGCCTCATATCCTCGTCTTCAGCATGAATTCTCATACTGTCAATTCCCTGTACCCTGCTTTTTTCTTCTCTTTATAGCACTTACCAACATGATGTGCTAYATTAGTTATTTATTTAAAGTTTATTATTTATTGCCTGTTGTTTTAGTGAGCTTTCTCACAGCTGTGACTTAAAGACCCAATCTGCACAATTGTAGAAGAGGAAAAGTTTATTTGAGAGCTCACGGTTTCCGAGGCTGACAGACAACTCCATTCCTCTGGGCTAGAGGTGAAGCAGGACATTATGCCTGGACAGGGTGGTGGAGGGAAGCAGCTCACATCACAGTGATGAGGAAGTAGAGAGAGAGACTCCACTCTCCAGATACAAGTATATACCCCAAAACCACACCCTAATTCCCACCTCCTTTAGCCACACCCTACCACTTCAGTTACCACTCAGTTAATCCCTGTCAGAGGATTAAATCACTGATTGGATTAAGACTCTTTCAACCCAATCATTTCCTCCTCTGAATCTTCTTKCATTGTCTCACATGTGAGTTTTTTGGGATACCTCACATCCAAACCATAATATCCATCTATATATTCATCAATGTAAGCTCCACAGGGATCTTTGTTTAGTATGTTAACATATCCAAGCACCTAGAACAACATTTAATACATAGTAGAYACTCAATAAATCCTTACTGAATGAGTGAATTAATAAATGATTGCAGTGAGGGTCAGGATCAGCATCAGGCCTCAGAAAGCAATGGGAAAGGAGAGGAAAGACCTAAGAAAAAGATGTTGGGACTAGAGTATGACACTGCAGGGTGAGGAAGAAGGTTCCTGATGGGGCCTTATGGTGAAAAACAAGAGTTTCTGGGTCCCCTTCTCCTGGAGGCAGGTGGCTGAGAGAGGGTTGATGGTGGTGATTTTATAATATCTTTACTTTAGAGCCCCTTTACCAAACAAATTGAACACCATAGCCCTGAATTTAAACCAATGCAAGTTGATGCAGCCCAGGCTGCTGCAGAGAAATAATTCCTCAGTAAAAATAATTCCTTTGTCGCAGATGGGGTAACAGATATTTAGGCAGGTTAGCTTAACAGCCCTGTGGTGTGTGTAGTGTGTGTGTGTGTGTGTGTGTGTGTATAAATAATGTGTATATATATACATATATATGTATACATATGTTTAGAATTACTTCATAAAATTTACTTTTAAAGTGCAGTAATAACTATTATTTACTAAGGAATGGCCACTCACCACATCACCAAAGTATAATTGTTTTCTTAAATAATGGCAACATAGGCCTCTCTTTTCTATTATGTACGCTTAAGCTGTGGTCACTTTTTAGAGAACATGTAATGTCAAATTCATGAGGCTGGTACATTTCTGGGTTAAGAACCAGGTTTCTGTTAAATTTACTTTTTCATTCTTAAATCTTCAATTTCATTTTAAAGTACCTTACAGTTCAAGACAACATGTTATTTTATGAGTTTATCCTTATTAAACTGTGATTTGCTGGTTCCAAGAAAGCATCTGAAGAATGAATGGATGGATTAAGGGGAAATAAATTAGATACAATATACAAATTAGATTTCCCCTGTTAGCAGTCAAATTTAAAGAGCAAGAGAGTGATGCAAGAGGTGGTATGGAAAAATCTTTGAAAGAGTTGAGACAGTTAATAAACTCTACGTTTTTCTCATGATTGCTTTTGCTTTCCCGTAGCCTTCAATTTTTTCTCTGTCCACTTCACTTCTTCCCAGGTCCTGGTTTACAAATTTTACATGCCCCCCAACATACACCTACTGTGCACTACCTACGTGTTTCTCTAACTACCCCATTTCACCATTCTCCCCTTGCCTCTCTTCTCTTTTGCACTCTTTCTTACTTTCCTCTTCTCATCTCCCTTTTACACTTTTTGTTATTTTTTCCAACCTGTAGTATCTTTTTTTTCCTGTCATCATCTTTCTGCTTTCATAATTTTCTCCATGTTAATTAGTGTCTACTTATTAAGAACCTCTTARGAACACAATGTAAAACAATGGTTGTGTTGATCCTTTTACTTGCCAATATTCTTTATTTCCCTTATTTTGGTTTTCTTTATTCCCCTTTGTCTTATTGAAGTATCAATAAATCTCAGATTTTTCTCTAATGACTAGAAACACTTCCAAGGCAATGGGATCAAGACCAGATATTGCCTCCTTTAGTTTAAATAAGAAGCATGATGTCAGCATTGTGGGCAATTACCTTTGACTTTGGGCAAGGTAAACTAGATGAGACAGATGTTGGAGGCATGTCCTTGCCCATGTTATGACTGTGCTAAGTTTATCTTTTAGCTTGTGACTTCTGGACAAATCTGGAGATGACATTATTTTTGCTTCTAGTTAGTCTGTGGTTTTTCTTCTGAGGCTTGCCAAAATACTTTGACTAGCACCAAACTACAGTTTTCTGTCCTTGTCTCATAAGTGTACATCTTTCAAGTCTGAARACCTGAATTTCCCACCTTTATTCCTAGAGAAGGTTCCACTGAGGACTCCAAATTGAAGACTCCAAATTGATCTAGAGTCAAAACTGAGATGAACTGGGACTCAGGTGTCTCTCATAAGTCTCTCTGCCTCCCCTCCTATACCCAAAGATAGCTTCTTACTTGCAGCCTCCTTTGCATTACATGGACTTATMTTCTTTTTATTATTCATTCACTTATTTATCCAGTCATTCAGCAAATATATATTTCACACAGTGCCAAAGAATTTTATTTTGAATACAGTAGTTAGGAGTCAGACTCAGGCCTTGTTTTCACGGAATTTRTAGCCCAGGGGGAAGACATACTTGAACAGAGCTCATGCCACAGAAGGTAAGGTAAAGGTCTCAATTCTTAGGCCCTAAACATGAWGGTGATACAAGAACAAGTACTCAATATGTACGAGGCACCATGTTAAGCACTTATACACATTATTTTATTAAATTCTTACAATCTCTTAAAGGAAGAGAGTATTATTAGCTTCAATTTATAGATAAGGAATCTGAGACCCACCTAAGTTGTGTCATATGGCAACCAGGTAGAGGGACAGAATATGAATCCAGACGACTGGCAAAGCCTGTTTTACAAAGGGCACAAAAAACTACAAGCAGAAAGGCAACAGTTTAGCACAGTAGCTTAGCTTCTGCTCAGGATAAGAAATAAATTATAAAAGTACTCTAAACCTGAAGGTACAAAATTAATTATCAGAGATCAAGTCCATCCAGATCTAGAATGAGATTATCATATTTAAAAAAAAATAGCAATGTTTTCTGAGATTTTGAAAGTGAGGATCCCCAACAAAAATGTACAGAAGAGGTGGCCAAACAGACCAGTACACACAAGACTGAGTTAGAGTTTGGTAGGTAAATCCATTTACTTGAAAAGTTCTCATCTAAATGTTTGTATACATCTCAAACGTCTGAAAAAAAAATCAGTATGCAGTCTGTTGAATTTTTTTAAAAAGATATATTAATTTGATCTAATACTATAATAAATATAAAAATTAGTTGAGTAGGTCTTGAGTTTTCATATTAAAGCCTTACGGATCTTGAAAAGCTTTTATAAATAAGTAACTGGAAATACTTGTCAATTATACATTTGCAAACTGGACATTCTTATCCCTTGGGGAAAGCCCCGGATGTAAATTGTCCAAATGTGTTTAAGAATCTCTTGCATCTTGTTACTGATGGACTGAGATCTGTTTTTTGCAACTCATGACAAGTTTACATATTTTGTATGACTGTTAATACTGAATTCTGAACCAGAGAAAGGTTGACTCTTTAGTCAGGAATCTTTGTGTATTTTGTGGTCCTTTCTAAAGAACAGCATGTGTGTAATTAAAACAGAAAAATAAGCATTTCTTTTGGTTAAAATAAATAATAAAAAAGGCTTGGTTAGCATCTTGTGACTTTTTAAAAACTTACCAGATAGCTTTTCTATTCACCTGGATGGAAGCACAGCCCAATAGCACTGACTGATGCACGAGACATAGGTTCCATATAAAGATAGAGTAACTTCTTTTTTTGATGCTGACATGGCCATTATGATGATATTGATGGGTGGCTGAAAGCTGGAGGAAGAATAAAGGAAAATAGGAAAGTGACACTCTTGTTTCTAAGGGAAAAAAACCCATTTATCACAATCATCAGGGCAATAATAGTAGACAATCTCCTAAATGTTAAGAAGCTCTTGGTTCAAAAAATTCTTGAACAACAATAATGATGTCTTATTGAATGCATAGTTTGTTTTACGAAAGAGTTGCAGTGCAGATAATGAAGAAATATTGCTAATAATGGATAGAAAGAAATGAATTTCTCTSGAAAACCATGGAATATTGAGTACCAAGTTCCATTTTCATGACAAACTACAGATTTCTTCTTTGAGATAAATATTGTAGTTTGAGAAATTTATCAAGTTGGTAATTAACCAATAACCTCGTGACTAAATTTATGTACTAAAAAAGCTTCAGAATGAAATCTTGTAGATTTTGTTGGGTAGGGGCATTTCCATGTGATTGTGAAATGGTTGAATTGCTGTCTGCTTTCACATCTTTTCAGAGAGGCAAACTAATGAGACTAGCTAGTTTCGTTATATCCCTTTAATTCATAATTGTTATGCCTTTCCACTGGTTGTATGATTGCCCATTAAATATGACTTTGGGCTCTAAACATATATTCAGTGAGTGACTGTGAGAAATGATTCTATTTTACCCAAATGCTTTCCTATCAATTGTCAAACTGACCATTTTCTCTACTGGTACAATTAGAAAAAAGGGAGAAGGATCCTAAGAGAGTTTTCCCGAGTCCTTCTTATGCTTTGATTCGAATCCATTTTTGGTTGCTTCTAATGTGCTTTGAGGCACCCACCTTTTTTCATTGTTCTCAGATCTATTTGGCTTCTATTAGAGTTAGGTCATAAGCCTCTTGTTGTGGATTTCTACCGACTGTAGATAATCCCCTTTTTCATTATTACTATGAAAATATACCTACTTTCCCCATTTATCTTTGATTTTTTTCTAATACCTATCTCATCTCCCAACCTCTCATTTGAAACTATCAAGAATTTTTTCCATTCATCTCTCCAACAAACATTTATTAAGTTCCTATTAGGTAGATATTATGGTAGGTTATGGGACATAGAGGCAAATATAATTCTCCCTAAAGAAAACTGTTAACCTCTTTTGGAAAGGGGCAGAAAATAAATTGAGAAGTTTGTATTTTATGCTAATAGGACTAAGAAGAGGGAAGATGAACATTTCTGATGATTAAGGAAAAAAAATGCAGTTTGGCTTGGTTCCTACCATTTTGTTTTGACTGAGCCCTATATTTAGTGCTTAAATTTCTGGCACCACACTCTTTGAGAAAGGCTGAATTGGAGTTTGGGCTTCAAGAACCCATGCAGAACCCTTAGCCTTACTGCTTGTTCCTGTCTAGAACCACACCCTTGGTGTAAGGCCAGAAGTGGATGAGCCTTGGGGCCAGGGAGTAGTGAGCCAACACGTTCAAGGCTCTATTTGCCTCTATGTCAGTCTTTGCTTACGACAATAAAAATGATCAAATGAACCTGTTTTTTATATTTCTGTTGGCAGGAATCATGTATCATGTTGTTTTTGCCCAAAGCACTTTTTTTTTTTTTTTTTTTTTACCAATTTTGAAGCCTGAGAAATTGAGTCTTGGGTCAAGAAACTAGAATAAGCTTTAATGGCTTCTGTTAGCCTATTATTTTTATTTAAGTTTTGTGGGTAATATCCACCCAATTCAAGGTTCTTCAAAATTCAGGAATGAAAATTATTGGTAGAGGAAAAAAGACAATGAATTCCAAGAATTTATAAAAAGTCTCCTCTTCTATAATATAGCTGTCCAAATAATTTGGGCTAGTTTAAAATCAGTTTTAATACATAAATGGGCTATAATGGGAGCTAACCACAATTCAGCCACTTCCCATCAATAAAAATGACCTTGTACAGGTTATTTGTCTTATTTGAAACCTCTTGCCAGCACTTTCTCCCTTAGCAGTGGATGTCTGAGAAGCTGTCAGAAAGTGCCCGAGAGGGAGGTCTTTGGGTCAATGATTTGTTATATTAGGAAAAGGTCAGTGCAAGTTGGAGAAGCAGCCCTGAGACCACGAATCCCTCATTCCTTCCAGAGTGTTTTTGTTTTATGAATGCAAAGGCTGTAAATGTGAGTAATCTGGTTGGTTAGGATGGGTCAGACTGTATGAAAACGAGTTGCTGTTACCTTTCTCTAAGAGTTCTCAAGGGAAAACATAGAATCCTAGGAAGAAAGGGAAGTCATGAAAGAAGCCTCTTTAAGTTCAGAAGACAGTGTGGAAAGAAGACGGAGTCAGAATCTGCTATAGTTTAAATCTTAAATATCCTCCAGAGCCCTGTATAAAAAGCTTGGTGCTACTGCAGGTCGTGGGTATTTTAAAAGGTGGGGCATAATGGGAGATTTTACATTGCTGGAGAAATGCCCTGGAAAGGAACTGAGGAACTCTAGTCTCTTCCTCTTTCTATTTTGTATCCTGACCCTGAGGTCATGGCTTTGCTCCTCCACGTACTCTGACCCTGATGTACCTACCATCATAGGCCCAAAGTAAAGGGGTGAATTGGTCATGGCCTGAAACCTTCAGATCTGTGAGCCAAAATAACCCTTTTCTCTTCATAAATCTATTTGTCTCAAGTATTTTTTTAAAGTAATGGAAAGCTGACTAACACAACATCATATAGAATTCCTTAAGATCATCTGGTCTCCTTTAACTTTCAATCAATCCTAAAAATAGGCTCCCCTTTCTTTTCCAAATGCCACTTTTTATGTTCCAAACTGCCCTTTGCACTTCCGCTTAAATAAATGTATTTTTATTGTTTTGAAGAGCAAGAAATGTAGAGGCCCTAATCTTATCCCTGACTCCAACTTGAACTCTGCTTAGATCTACCCATTTGACAAATCCTTTTTCATTCTTTCCTGCTTTCTTTTTCTTGTTCCTTTGCTTTTCTCTGTTCTATTCTTTCATGTCTCTGTATTCATTACTTCTAAAAATGTGACCCCACCTGTTTGCAATGCAAATGTATATTAACCTAAAGGTTATGTCTTGTGACAAGATCCATAAAAGATTATTTCTGGTTTCTTTTTCTATCAAGTACCCCACCCAGAATGTGCATTTTCTTATTGAAATGATGGAACGAATTGATTCATTGATTTGGAATGGCATGCCCTTGGTTTGGAATGGACTTGGAATTAAAAAAAAAAAAAAAAAAGAAAAAGAAAAAAACTAGAAACATCTTCTGGCCAGTTTGGGCAAGTTATATGGTGCCTTTGAGTCCCCAGGACTCTGAATCTAATCAAGATAAGAAGCATACAACAGCTGAAAGGAATCACACGCATTCTCAAGCACAAGGCGAAAACAAGGCCCAGGTTTTTCTGGGGTGGAATATAGTAGGACCCCAAAAATCTTGATTAGGAGACTAGAAAGATGGATAACTTTTGCTGTGAAACAGGAAGTATGCCTTGGTAACCTGTGTGACAATTTGCATTAAGCCAAAATAAAATGTTTAGGAGAGGACTGCTTTGTATTTTCAAAAGTCATTTGCTACAAACTAGAAGGAAAGATAAGTGATTTTTTTTTATTTTTAGGGGAAAAATAATCTCATAGTACAGAAAGCTATATTCCAAAATATTTGATAGATTTCCATCTTTGCATCTCCAAGCTTATTTTTTCCAGCATAGTCAGGTATATACCATGCTAAGAGGGAAGGAAAAATGTGCTGTGCATAGAAGTAGGGTGGCACAGCAGTACCATGGGCTTCTGAAGAGAGTTTCAGGTGCATATTAGGAGTTTTGCTTTTTTATTTTCCAGGGATTGTTGTCTGTGAGGCGCCTAACAACAAATTAGATAAATTTACGGGAGTCCTCTCTTGGAAGGACAGCAAGCACTCCCTCGACAATCAGAAGATAATCCTGAGAGGCTGCATCCTGAGGAACACCAGCTGGTGTTTTGGAATGGTTATTTTTGCAGGTACAGTTTATGGCTCAGGGCCAGATCTATGTGACCCTTTCCTGCAACACACACCAGCACAGTTCTCCAAGTTCAGAACAGCATGGTGCTTTTAGCCCTTGCAAAGGGCTGCTCTGGAGTTAACTTCAGGATTTGTGGCTCCAGGGTAAAACACCACAGCTTTAAAATAGTCCAGGTGGTCCAGGGTGTGGGAACCACTGACATCTTGTGCTTATTCTTAAGGGTGCTGGGGCCTCCATTATACGGTGGGTGCTAGTACCTATTATTTTAATTTCTATCTTTTTAGCCCCATCCCAGTCACTTTGTCATGTTATATATTAACTAAGCTCCTTTTAAATTGACAGAAGAATAAAAAAGAAAGCCCCTCATCATGCTGTTCTTGGGTAGTTTGTGGAAGTCAAGCAGCTCTTTTGGGAAAGTGTTCTTGGAGATCTTGCAGTCACTTCTGTTTATACTCTGTAGTTTCTCCACTGTTTGTAAACAGGACAGTGGGGTCTGGAAAGCCTGTGCATGATGGGTGGGGCCAGTGTGGAAGGAGGCTGGGGGGGGGTGCGATGCCTCCTGCTCTTCATGCCTGTCATTTTTGCTTTCCCTACTTTATCTCTATGGGTTCAAGGTGGCAGTTTCCTGCTAAGGAAGCTCACAGTAGCACCATTTCATAAAGCCACTCAAATTGTACTCATGGCTTCAATTGCTAGTCCTTGATTTTATAAATCCTGTTTATTGTGGCACCAAATTAAGATGTGTTTTGGGTCTGCTGATTATATGTGCAATCAAAATTGGAATGTTTTTCTTAACTTTCCTCAGCAACAACAAAATGTTCATTAAAGACTTAAAAGTGTTCCAAACTAGGAAAGTCCTCCCAGTTGTTCCTAAATACTCTCAGCTGTGGCCGTTAACAAGGCTCTTTCTGCTTGGGGCATTCGTATTGTAAGGACTTGGGAAATCCCTAGAAATGAGACAATATAGTGCTTTTATCTGGGGATGAATCTGGCTTCAAGATTCTTTCATCAGATGCTTTTATTCTTTAGTCAGGGAAATAAACCTCTTACTATTTATTTCCTTATTTGCATTTTCTTGCAGAGAAACAGTAAGGCTTATCCACAACTTCCTTTTACTGTCCTACTTAATGATAGAGAGACATCTTGAGAGTCTTCTGGTAGGAAATACCCATCTAGTTTGCTCCCTGTCACCAAAGAAATGGAGATGCCTCACCCTAGGAATGGGACATAGTCCAGAAGTTTGTTTGAGTTTGTATGATCTTGTTTGGAGCAACTAATTCAGGACTGTAGTTCAGTTACACTATGTTATGCTAGGACAGCTGTTGTGAACCACTGAGGGGTCAAGTTCCTCTTCATAAGGTTGTCCCTATGGAAGAATGCTCTCACAAAAAAGAAAGTGGAGAGGTAAGTTAAACAGATGTCCTCCAAGGGAGAAGAGCAGAAAGTTCACAGAAATTGAATCAGGCCTATCTGGCTGTAGGAGCATTATCCTCAGTTACTTAACCTCCCTAAGCTTTGTTCCCCCTCTGAAACACGGGGATAATAATGAGCATATCTGAGAGTGTACTGCAAAGTCTCCATGTGATGATGCCTGTGGGAGAGGAAGCCTCCAAATTTTCTTTTCCTTCCTTCCATGCTTCTCCTTTCTTTCATCATCAATTCAGAGCATACTCCTGTTCCACAGGCTGAGCAGGGAAAACTTCCTGCTTGCTGCACCTTGGTGGGAAAAGAGGGAGCTGCCTCTTCTCTTGTGATAAGTCCTGGAGGTTCACTTGCAGGGGACAGCCATCAGGTGGACTTTTGCAAAGCAAAGAATACGTTTATTGACTTTAGTTTGTGCACAAAAGTTAGTATAAAACTTGAACCAGAATAAAGGCAAACTAAGGAATGAACCATTGGTTTGGTCCATGTCAGAGTTGAACTGGGTCAGGTTCTCGAAGTCTTGAGATATTTGGCTGAGGAACTAATTGTAGGTGACTATGTAGGTCTTATGAAAGTGAATCCCAAATGAATTGTTAACTTTTCTTTTTGAACTATTACTCTAGTTATATCTACCGTTAAGAATTGTGCAGGGAATATAATTGACAGATATGGCTTGCTTTGCAAACCTGTAATTTACAAAAGTCTAATATACACTAACAGCTGGGCCATACTTCCCTGGTGATGACTTTTCTTTCTGCTCAAAAGAGGAGCAGGTGTTATTTTTGAGAGCAGGAGTCTAATCCATTTAAGGAGTCTACAGGATCAGGCACCATCTTGGTTGCAGGTAAGGTTTTAGTGCTGGATCTCTTTCACTTGCCCGTTCAGGTCTGCTCTGACCCTTTTCCAACCTTCTTTTTGCATTGAAGGCTGACTTGTCTGGTTGGCACTGATAGTTTTCCTTAAATTTTGGCTTCTTTTGGACTCTGTCTTGGGAAAAAGATTAAAGGGACAAAAATGATTAAGGCCAAGGTATTCATTCCTTCAGAATACATCCCTGTGTGGTCACTTCAGACTGGTCCTCAATATAAGGTTACTCATCCCTTAAARGCTGTAAACCCCACACATCTCTCACCTGAGGGTCCAGTAATACTCCTTTCGAACATCCCTCTGGCTGAGGTGAAGAAATAGCGGGGTTGCTCTGAAGCCCTTGGTCATTGCCCTTACCTTTTGCTTTCCTTATACCCACCCCCACTTTTGTAAAGTGTTCCTTTAAAAATAAACTCTACTGTCACTATCCTTGTTCAATATGATATATATTTCCTGTTAGGACCCTGAATGAGGCAGTCTTAAATGTACATTGGTTGACTATCTCATATGGTTTTAAAAATAGTAGTTAAAAACCGAGAACTTCAGAGTTATATATATGGAGGTTTAAATTCTGGTTCTGTCACTTATTAGATGAGAAATCTCAAGCAAGGTAAATTCTTTAAACTTCATTCTCATTATTAACAAATAAAGGATAACCTATTGTGTTGGCTTATTGTAAGTATCAGCTGATATAATCGAATGAAAGCATATGTGATTATTGCCTAAAACAGCAAGTATTCAATTAATTAATTCACTAAAATTTTACTTATTGAATACCTACTACACATGAGGCATTATTCTGCATGCTCATAGGGGATTCAAAATCTGGTAAAACAAAGGCAGTTCCTTTATTCATCTCAAATACAGTAATGAATGCATGATCTCAAATTGAGATAAGTGTTCCAAAACAACAACAACAACAACAACAACAGCAACAAAACATGGACTCAAAAGAGTGTATAATGGAGGAAACTGATTGGACATGAACTTTAGGGAAGGTTTTCCTAAAGAAATGTGAGCTGCAATTGGAAAAATGAGAAAGGGTTAGGAAAGAGAAAGAGGTGAAGAATGTAGAAAAGGGAAAGAACTAGCTAATGAGAAGGCAATTTGTAGACCAAAGCTCTATGGCAGAGTGAGGTCAAAAAATTTAGGCCTGTGGGACACAGCACCGAGAATAGAGGTAGACATGTGACTGGAGAGGATCTGGACCATGCAGGACCTTGTGGTTAATATCCAGAATTTTGGAGTTTATCCCAAGAGCTTGAGGAAGCCATTGCAAGTTTCTAACAGGTGGGGGTGTATATGTGTTAAATTTGAAAGATTCACTCTTCCCTACAGTGTTTGTGATCTCTGTTAATATTCAGCAGGTTCTAGAAAGAGTACATGTTGAGAAGGAAAAATATTGATTGAGTTCAGGACAGAGTGATGCAGGAACACAAAGTTAGTAGGATTTTAAAAGTTGAGAGATGATGGTATTTTGGATTGGAATGAGGATATGGAGATAGAGAAATCAGAATCTTTTTAGAAAGTTGAGATGATAAACTTTGATGAACAGGTTTAACAGTGAGGATGAGAGAGTAATCAACTCTGACTCTTAGGTATCTCCTAACCTTCACAATTGGATGGATAGTGCTGTCATTCACTGAAGTAAGGAACCATGAAGATTCCAAGCTAGGCTGACAAAGGTCCTTCGAGGGGCCTTAGGAAGATCCAGGTGGAGATTTCATGTGGGCAATAAAATATATGGATTTAAATATATGACTTAGAGTTCAAAGAGCAGTATGAGCTAGAGATATAGTGGTTTGAAGATGGTATTACAGACTGATTATGGTCATAGGTAAGATTGCCCAGGGAAGGTGGATTGAGTATAAAGAGATGATTTATGCTTGAATCTTAAGAATCTCAGTGTTTAACAACTGGATACAGGGGTGTGAACATTATGGAAGACAGGGAAGAAAGTAGGAGTAAGAGTAGGAGAACATTCAAACACAGAAGTTGAGGGAAGAGTATGTTTTACAAGGACAGGTAGTCAATAATATTAGAACCTATGATATCAGTATCAAAACAATCATCATAACCTATGGTGGCTATTGATGATAGCCACCGTAGGCTATTGATGATATGGTGTAGTGATTAGCCCCAAAACTAGGTTGAATATGAGTGGAGGATAATGAGTGGAGGATCAGGAAACAGGAGCAGCCAACTCTAGAAGACTCTTTCAAGGTCTTTGATTATGAAGAAGATTTGTGTATGTAAACATTTGTGGATATATTTAAAAAAGTACTTATCAGCCTATAAAGTAGATTCTTCATTACTCTGTGTATGTTTGTGTGCTGAAGAAATATAAATTTTTAACATCAACTGGTCTGTCAATACTTCAGTTTTTAGCAATCACAAACTTTATTTGGTTTTTGTGATCTTTACTACAAAATAAATATTTCTCACCCTCAATGTCCATGTGACTTTAATAAACAACTCTGAGAAAATGTGGGTGGTCTCTTTTATACACCAGTGGCCAGGAACAGGACCCTGGGGTGCATTTTCCAACTCAAGACAATGAATTGTTCTGAGACCCCAATCTTTCTTTGTTTTTTGAGGAAAAGCAAGTGTTTGAAGGATGTTCCCACCGTTTCACGACTTCTAGAATGGTATATAATTTCATGTGTACCCCCCCTTCTTTTATTTCTTTCATTTTCCCCAYCCTCCTATATTAAATGGCTGCATGGATCAATAATAATGGGAACACAATGTGGAAAAAGAACACTACTGAAGTCAGTTATAATTAAAACTATTGTTTCTATTTAGCATTTTCTCTGTGAATAAGAAATTTCCTTAGCAACATGTTATTAGTTAATTATCTAATAACCCACCTCTAAAGCAGCTAACGTTAGTCTCAGATTTCCTTGAAAAAATGATCTTAAGATATATGTCATATTGAATCTTGAGGAAATACAAGATTTAAGTCAATTCTTGCTCTTAGAAAAGCACATATTATATAAACAGCTATCAATCATAGAAAAGGTTTAATTTACTTGCTGATACATGTTTTATAGTTTTTTAAAGATTCTTCATTCTCAAACCTTTTTGGGAAACATCTGGAATTTGATTTCTCATCTTTTAATTTTTGACCTCAGTATTCTAATTTGTTTTGGTTACTATAGTTCTTTTCAGTAGTTCCAAATAATTCCTTTTATTGATTTTGCTGTCATTGAATACTTCAAACTACAAGCACATTCATTCATTATTTTTTTAAAAAAGCATTTCTTAAGACTTATGTAGCAACAAATTCTAACCTGGACATATTCTATAGAGATTGATTCTCTTGTAGTTTCCAGGACAATTGTTAAGCCACTAGTTAAGAATCATATACAACTTAATGGCCCTTGCTCTTAATGAAAGTTAAATTATTTTTGAAAAATATATTTTTCCCTTTTAGAGACATGGATATGAGTAATAATTACTACTATTACATTTAATTGTTTCAAAGTTGGCTCTTCTTTTATTTACAGGTCCCGACACTAAACTAATGCAGAACAGTGGTAAAACAAAGTTTAAAAGAACAAGCATTGATAGATTGATGAATACTCTAGTACTGTGGGTAAGTAACTATAACAAAACTAGGCAATGTCATTAGTCATTATTACCTTAGTATATTTCTTATATTTGGGGGAAATTCTTTCAGAATTTCTCATGTGGAGTTGTGTTTGGACACTCTGATTTGAAGCCCAATTATACTGCCTTCTATTTTCTAGTTTATAATAATTTCTCAACAAATGATAGAATTTATCAGGAAAGGTAGGTTAGTGTTTATAGTGGCCTTCACAGTTTTTCAGTTCTCTATATTGCAAAGATTTATGTTTGAAAAACAAAATCTAGTTATTCCATTTCTTGGTTATATCCAAAGGATTTAAAATAAACATACTACAGGGATACAGTCACATCAATGTTTATAGTTGCACAATTCACAATAGCTATGGAGCCAACCTAAATGCTCATCAACAAATGAATGGATAAAAAAATTGTGGCATATATACACAATGGGATATTACTCAGCCATAAAGACAAGTGACCTTTGGACATTTACCAGTAAATGGATGGATCTGGAGAATATCATGCTAAGTGAATAAGCCAGTTCCAGAAAACCAAAGGTCAAATGTTTCTGCTGATATGTGGAAGCTTAATCACAATAAAGGGCCAGGAGGAGGGGAAGAAGAGAAATTCAGTAGATTAGAAAAAGGGGAACAAAAGGAAGAGAGCATGGATAGGAGTAGGAAAGACAGTAAAATGAATCTAACATAATTTTCCAATGCACACATATAAAATTACCTAATGAACCCTATCATTATGCCCCCCTCACAAGAATAGGGCCCTAATTAGAATAAGATATATCTTATGCATATAACTTTATTAAAATGGCTTCTGCTATCATATACAACCACTAAAATAAAATAAAAAAAGAAAAACAAAACATAATTTAAAGGTAGTTTGGTGCACTTTCTGTGCTTATGCTGTCTTACCTTTGCTTAAACCCTCTCTGCATAGTTATGGACAAGGCCAGCTTCACAGGCCTGTGACCTGTGTAGCTACAAAGGGCCCCAACTCAGAAAGGCCTTGTTTTACTGATCAACTGTTGCTCTTTAGAAATTCTTAATAATTTGGGCCTACATTTTCATCTGACACTAGGCCCTAAAAATTAGGTAGCTGGTTCTACTTATGAAGTCTCTAAGGTCCAAGTCCCAGTTGTCCTCCTTCACAGAGACACCTAAACTTGGCCATAGTTCTCTATCTGCTGTGAATTCTTTTTCCCCTTGAAATTTTTGAAATTATTTTCAATCATTAACAGAAAAGAGGATAGTGTGATGCAGGTACCAGATAGTAGGATATGGGGGATTCACAATTCTGCCCTAAATAAGGTTTTCCACAACTTTTCTTCTTATGCCCTTATTTTATTCATGAGAGAATAAAGAAGAAAACATCTCTAGAATTTATGATGATTATTATTTCTTGGAGGAAAAAGGAAATAGAAGGGAATGCATTCCTAATCTCCAGCACTACCCTCCCCTCAACAGGGCTTGGTCTCAGTTCCAACATAGGGTGACACTTAGGACAAAGTCCTCTGAACACCTTTTTCTACTCAGATTTTACCACATTCACTGAGCTTATGTCCTTCCATTCCATGACTGAAATTTTGGTCTCACTACAGATTGACTTTGTTTTTCCAATCTTGAAGCTAATAACCAGATAAGAGTCTGCTAAAATATTTCAGGTTGCTTCCCACGTTTGTTTAATCTCAAATGGAAAGTGAACATGTCATGAAGTATTTTAATTAATTCTTGTACTTCTTGGTGATCTTAAGGATTATGCAGCCAGACGTGAAGTAGACTTAATGAGCATTGGAAGCAGTTTTTAAATCACTGAGATATATATTTCCCTTTGCTTTTATACTGGGAAGACCATATAATTTATCATCCAAGCAGGATACTTTTGAAGGCAAAAGGGAACATGAATAATACTACACCTGGACAGTAGATGTAAACTAGGGCAATCCAGGTCAGATCAGAGCAAATGGTCTCCTTCACTGACCCATGAAAATATGTGTATGCATCACAGATTGAGGGTGTGAACTTAGCTATGTGACTGAGGGCAAGTTTGTAGTCTTTCTGCACTTATGTTTTTTTTTGTGTGTGCGTGTGTCATGTTTTCAATCTGTAAAGTGTGAATAATGACTGTTTCTATCTCAGAGGGCCTAGGGGAATGAAATGAAAAAAATGTATGTCAACTATTTAGTCATGTTCTTGACATAAAAATGTTAAATTTTATTCAAATGATTAATGGGGAAGTAAGAAAAGGTTTGCATAATTTGATTTTTCAAAGGATAATTTCTTAGAGTTAGGAGTATAATTAGATTAGGATGATATGACTAGTTTTGGGTTCAAGTTAACCTTAACCAGACTTCTATTCTTATTGCAGATTTTTGGGTTTCTGGTATGCTTGGGAATTATTCTTGCAATAGGAAATTCAATCTGGGAGAATCAAGTTGGGGGCCAATTCAGAACTTTCCTATTTTGGAGCRAAGGAGAGAAGAACTCTGTTTTCTCAGGATTCTTAACCTTCTGGTCCTACATTATTATTCTCAATACTGTTGTACCCATTTCATTATATGTGAGGTAAGATGAGCATTTATACTTTAATGAAGACATTTTATTTAAAGCCTTTGTTTCACATAATCACTTTTGTTTGTTTTAAAATTACAGCAGCGAGGTAGATGGCTTGCTCTAACTGCTTATGATCTGCTACATCYGTAACAAATGAGGCATCTAAGCTGTTTAATCTGTTTAACTTTTACATTTTCAAATTACTATAAATGCATTTTATTTTATTCTTGATTTGATTTGGTTTCTTGGTAATGTTTTTCTTTGGAATCTATGGACTAGGATATAATTTCATGGAACTGCAACCTGAGCAAGAATTGAGTGGTTTTGGGGTAAGAAAAAGAACCTTTGAGGAGATTTATAGAGATGGTACCATTCCACCACGAGTTTGGCTCCACATACCTGCATTCAGGTCCAGTTCTACCACCTACTAGCTCCATAACATTGATCACGTAACTTCAACTTCTGATGCCTCAGTTTTCTCATTTCAAAAATGGAGGAATGTTTCATAGGATTGGATGAGGAGTGAGTCAATGCCTGTAAAGCTCTTAGAATAATGACTGGCATATTGTAAAAGTTTAATGAATATCAGTTTTTCTTTTATTTATTCTAATTTTTTATATATGACAGCAGAATGTAATTCAATTCATATTTCACAAATAGAGCACAACTTTTCATGTCTCTGGTTGAACACAAAGTAGAGTCACACCATTCGTGTTTTCATACATGTACTTAGGGTGATGATGTCTGTCTCATTCCACTGTCTTTCCTACCCCCATGCTCCCTCTCTTGCCTCCCCTCCCTTTTGCTCTATCTAAAGTTCCTTCATTCCTCCCCAACCCCATTATGAATCAGCATCCTCATATCAGAGAAAACATTCGGCATTTGTTTTTTTTTKGGGGGGGGATTGGCTTACTTTAGCATTGTATTCTCCAAATCCATCCATTTACCTGCAAATGCCATGATTTTATTCTCTTTTAATACTGAGTAATATTCTATTGTGTATATATACCACATTATATTTATCCATTCATCTACTGAAGGGCATCTAGGTTGGTTCACAATTTAGCTATTGTGAATTGTGCTGCTATAAACATTGATGTGACTGCAACACTGTAGTGTGCTGTTTTTAAGTCCTTTGGGTATAAACCAAGGAGTGGGATAGCTGGGTCAAATGGTGGTTCCATTCCCAGTTTTTCAAGGAATCTCCACACTTTTTCCATATTGGCTATACCAATTTGCAATCCCACCAGCAATGTATGAATGTGCCTTTCCCCCATATCCTTGCCAACACTTATTGGTATTTGTATTCTTAATAGCTGCCATAGTAGGCCCAAATCTCCATCATGCTGTATTAGGCCATGACTTCCTTAATAAGACTCCTATAAAGTGCAAGAATTAAAATCAAGAATCAATAAATGGGATAGATTCAAACTAAAAAGCTTCTTCTCAGCAAAATAAACAATCAGTGAAGTAAATAGAGAGCCTACAGAATGGGAGCAAATTTTTACCACATGCATGTCAGATAGAGCACTAATCTCTAGGGTATATGAAGAATTCAAAAATCTTAATACCAAAAAAAAACCCTTAAAACAAATAACCCAATCAATAAATGCCCAAGTAACTTAACAGACACTTCTCAGAAGATGATATATAATCAATCAACAAATATATGAAAAACTGTTCAATATCTCTGGCAATTAGAGAAATGTAAATCAAAACCACTCTAAGATTTCATCTCACTCCGGTCAGAATGGCAGCTATTATGAATATTAATTTTTCTATTTTCTATTGGTAACTATAAATGAGTACAATAAATGGGTTAACACATAGTAGGTAGTGCTTGCCCCTTTTTATATAAAAGCTATGAATTATAGTTCCTCTTGTATCTTGATCTCTCATTTCTAGATTTAATCCCACAAACTAAAGCCAAATGGTCTCTGTCTCTCTCCATGGACACACACACACACACACACACTTTCTATACACATGTACATGCACACACATGTATTTGTGTGTATGCATTCTTGATAAGACTGAGAAGTTAGCTCCGGAGTCTATACCTGAGACAGGCTTGATCCTGATCCTATTAAACTAATCCAGACAGTCCCAAAGTCAGTGGAGCCAAGATAGAGCTTGTTTGTTTAACACTTCTCATCATCAGTACTTTAACAATACACAAAATCACCAGCTTGAAATTCCCACTAATTTTTACTAGCCTCTTTTTCTCTCTTTCCAAAAACCTAGCTATGATGAGGCAAGGGAAGTTGAATGCACAAAATCACCCTTGTTTTGGATAGTGGTCAGGAAACTGAAATGTCAAGTTGTGGGAAATTGACTTGAAGTTGTGGCATGAGGCCATAACACCACAAATTGCTTTGGGCCCTCTGGGGTTGTGGTTGGAGTGGGCTCTATTTAAACGGTATCCTACTGGCTCATCTTTGATTCTGAGGACCTCTCATGCTTGAATCCAATTATAGAGTCTGTAGTAAATCCTGCTCTCTGCCAAAAGAGCTATGGTCAACTTTTATAGCTTTCCTTTTATGTCCTAAATGAATAATAAATGTGCATGGTGGCTTACCATCTGCACATGTGCAGTTTCATATGTCCTTATGAAGAAACTGTATTTTTGTATACATTCTTTCTTTGAAGTGCATTGGTATTTTTCATTTAATGATTTGAAAAATTGATATTTTTAGAGACCAAGGCTACATTCTCAGGTTAGCATTCTTTTTACTTCTAATGTGTACTGGTTGACAGAAAATCTGTCTATATTAGTCCAAACCCAGTTTCTAGTCTTCACACTGCAAATAATAACTGTGTGACCTTAAAGAAAGCACTTGGCTTTTCTGTGCTTTAGAATGTCTGTCACACATGTGCTATTCTATAAAATGAGTGGATTAAAATAATTAATTTATGAGTTCATCTCTGCTCTATAGGTAGCATCCCACACATACACTTTATTATTTAAAAAAGTATATGATATTGTTTAAAACTACTTTCTTGTGCATTGCTTTTTATAATTTTCAAAGTTGCTCACTGATGTTTTGTAATAGGAATATTATATCTTYTAACTCTATGGGTATCTTTTTCTTAAAATATTTTGTATACAGTACTTTCACATACCTCATCTAATTTATGCTTCCCAATAATTTTAAGAAGTAGCTATTGCTGAACTTCTTTCACAAATGACATGATTTGTTCAGGATTATGGAGCTAGCTTTGGGGAGAACCAAGATCCAAATTCAAGTTTTCTGACAGCTGGTATTGTGTTTTCCCCTGTTCCTAACGTGTGAATGATCAGTGAAGACATCAAGAGGAAAAAAAAAAAAAAGAGGCTAGAGTTCTTTACTTGTTGGTAAAGAATAGAACTGATGGAGATTAAAAGTGAGCTTTTCTCTTACCAAAGAGAACAGTGATTCTCATTTTGAGGGGGAAAGTATTCCAAGAAATTTCAAGTTATTTGGTTCTAAAGACTTAGGCATAGAAAAAGAGAACTCTCAGGTATCCATTTGGAGGGATGAGGGCCTTCTGCAAAAGCTCCCATTAGGCTTTTGAGTAGGTACAGAGACGAAACTAGTGCTCTGCGTTACTTGAGGACAAAAGCTCATAATTTACTTTGAATGTTTAACAATTCCAGGTGAGCAGAGACATTTATTTTCAAGGACATTTCTATGCTTGGTTGGTTTGTTTTAAGATGTACCCAGACAGATATTTAAAAAATACATCATTTTAGGAAATGCAGTTATTGTTCTCCCAAGGAATTAGTTTTGAGCGTTCTTTCTGAAGCAATAGGAACTCATTTCCCTGTAGCTTCTTTTGCCTTAGAATGGGTGGAATCCTAAGTCCTGCCCTCTGAGTGGTCAGGCAGAAAACACAAAGCTGTCTAATTTTGCTAACTTGGAACATTTGTCTCCTTTTCTTTGCTTTTGTAAAAGGAAGGGTGCATGTTCCATGGTGACTCTCCTAAATCCTCTTTTCCCAAACTAAAAGGTCCCCATCTTCTCTACAGGCTATTTTAAGCTCTAGGAATTCAAATGAATTTTGAATACTTCCATTGGCTTATACCACACCAGGGAAGATCCAAATTCTCTTATGTTCATTTTGCTCTGAGTTTACCGGGAGCTAACATACTTTCAGATAATTGCAAACTTCAAATGACTTGTGAAGAGCAGATGCCCTTCTTCTCAGGGAATATGTTCCATGACCCGCCCCTCCCGCCCCATGCAGATGGTACTAAATCCTATATAGTCCCATTGTTTTCTGTACTATACATACATATGTATGATAAGGTTTAATTTATAAATTAGGCACAGTAAGAGATTAATAATACAACATAAAATTATAATCATATACTATAATGAAAGTTATGTGACTATGGTCTTTCTCAAATATCTTCTTGTACTGTACTCAGCCTTCATGTGAGATGATACAATACCCACATGATGAGATGAAGTGAGATGAGTGATGCAGAGCTGTGACATAGCATTAGGCTAAGATGTAAAGGTCACTTGAACCAAGTGTTGTAATGCCACAATAGTCAATCTGATAACCAAGATAGCTCTAAGGTAACTGAGTGGGTGTTGTGTACAGTCTAGACATACTAGACAGGGGATGAGCCATATCTTAGGTGGGAAAGAGCAGCATGGTGTGAGATTTCATTATGCTACTCATATCAGTTCACAATTTAAAACAGTTTATTTCTGGAATTTTACATTTAATATGTTTAGATGCAGTAAACTTTGGCAACTGGAACTATGAAAAGTGAAACCTCATGTAAGGGGAAACTCCTATATAATATCATTCTTGGGGCCAAGTTCACATTGGCTTTACTAGATACTGGAATTCCAGTCTTGGCTCTGTGGGTAATTATTTGTGTGATCTTAGGTTAGTCACTTTAACTTTTCAAGTCTTAATGTCCTATTGGTGAAATTGGAGACCAGAGGGCCAGGATTTATTCATCAACACTGACTGATCACCTGTGACAGCAACACGCTGCCCCTGGCCTGTTAAAGGAGTGTTAATGCTTTTTGAGAGGGAGAAATAAAGAAAACAAAGCTGAATCAAACCAGCTAGCCAGGAACTTACAAAGTTGGCAGGGGGTGGGATATACAGAAGAGTAAACCATACATGAAAATCTATGCACAAATACATGTATGCATTTATTATGAGTATGACTTATTTATCTTTATATGATTCTATATAGTCATAGTGTGATTTTAGTTTAGGAGAAAAAAGTGTTGTCATTCAAATAGTTAAAAATGAATGGGCACCATACCCGTTTAGAAAGGAAAATGTGGTTTTAGAACTTGAAGCATAGAGTTTAATGATCAGAAGGTCTTGGTGTCATCTAGTCTAACTTTCTTGGTTTATAGATGAGAAAACTATAAAACTTAATTTCCACTAAGAGCAGAAATTTCACAAATAAGCTATTAGTCTTTGCAACTATCATTACTATTTCATGTTCTTCTGAATGCCCTTGTTAATGTGCAAAGACATGAACTGCAATATCAATGAACAAAGTAAGACATAAAGCTGCAACTGCAATAAACCTATTAGAAAAAAGTCACGTATGACTATAAAACTAGAAAATCAAAATAATAATGAATGCAATTCTTAGTATGATAATTCAGTTAAGTACTTGTTTATGTGAGCAATATTTTTTGAAATTAAAAGTTTTCCTTCAGGCCAACAGTAATTTAAAAACCTATCAATAAAAAGATATTATGTCCAAGAACACATTTATAAAGCCATGGAGTGGACCTATGTGAAAAACAAAGCAAAACAAAACAAACTAAGACTCATTACTGACAGAGGTACTTTTAAAATTCTAATTGCTGGATTTTTATTTCTTGAAGTTGTATTTAGTTTTATGAAGATCAGTGCTTTTCAAATAATGAAAAATTTTAATATAGACCTAAGAAAAAAATAATCCCAAATAAATTTTCTAGGAAAACTGATATATTGATTTTAAAATTTATTTAGAGGGCTGGGCTCAGTGTAAAGAGCTTGTCTTGAATGTGCAAGGTCCTGTGTTTGAACCCCAGCACTTCAAACAAAAAAAGTTTATTTAGATGAATGCATTGATTCTACCAGGAGGAAAATGAGTGATTACAGCAAAGAATTTTTGAAAAGGAAGAAAACAAAGTTGCTTTTATCTCTTCCCAGGTATTGTTGGGTTTTATAAATTTACAATAATGAAAACAAAAGATAGATTAAGTGACATCAATTAACAAAACTGAAATCATAAACCAGATTCTAGTGAATAAAATAGTTTATATGTGTTGTAGGAAGCATTCTAACTTAATAAGCAAAGGTCTAGCTGCCCAACAAGTGGTGATTAAAAAAAATCTTTCTGTTTGGAAAAATTGAAATTAGCTCCTTAGTTACTGGATTCCTAATGGGATAAATAATTAAATATGGAAAAAAGTTCAGTATAAACTAGAAGAAAAATGCAGATGTCTGTATAGGCAATCTCTGAACAGGGAAGGCCTATTTAAGCAAAAACCTCCGAAGAATAACTATAAAATTTTGATTGATTAAAAAGAGAAAACAATCAAAATCCACTTTGTACATAATTTAAAGTCCTAATTGGATTTGTACCATCTTCCCATTTTGTTCTATAAAGATTAAATGCTACATGTGTAAGTCTGCCTAAATTGGCAGCTTAAACTTATGTAAAAATGTCTGCAGCAGTTTGTCAATAAAGTTTAGTCCTTTTTTAATAAAAAAGAGAAAACATTTAATGAAAAACTGAAACATTATTAAAAACATTATTAAATTGGGTATAATACTTGCTTGCACTGTTTTTTGATGAAGATCTAACAGCTTTAATATCTTTGTAATTCTTATAAACTAATAAGAAATAYACTAATATCAGAATAGGAAAAATTGAAATAGGCAGATAAAATTAGATAGTTCCAAGAAGAAATACAGTCAGCCAATAAAATTTGAAAAAAGTGCTCAGCTCGATGATGAGAAAATAAATGGCAATAAAATGTAATGAGATGCTGTTTGAATTGATGTGTAGTAAAAGATAATTCTCCATAATCTAATGGTAGATGCCTATATTGTTATAGCCTTTTGGGAAATCAGTTTGGCATTATCTGTGACAAACACTGGAAGAGTTCTTGCTCTTGGCCACAGAAGTTTCATTTCTGGAATTTGGAAGTTGTATATCATCTCTAGAACATGAAGCAATGCTCTTTTGCTAGTAAATGGATAGATTAGTAATATAACAGTTCACCTTTCACTCAATACTTGTTATGGTTTGTTTAGTGCTTCATGGGGATGTAAYTTTTTACTTCTTTTGGCAAAATGAAACCACATCAGTGTATTGGACAGAACACATTTCTTTAGACTGAACATATGACAAACATCTTTAATAATAATTAGTTTCCGCTAAAATATAGGAGGAGATGCAAACTAATGTTACACAGAAATCTCCACTGGGCTTGTTTAATGTAAATAGAGAACCTGAATCGTTCCCTAAGGCTTTTTGCTCAGTCGTCCTTATTGTTTTATGGTGCTGCAAGGAAATGACTTAGAAACTTGAGTTTATGAACAGATTTTCTGCTGAGATGCTTTTGAAGATCACTAGGACCTAGGGACAGAGCATCACATTTTCTTCTAAACTCTGAGGACTTTGGCAGACTTCTTACTTTGGCAAAGCTTTGCATGTTCCAAAATTGATGGAGCATTTCTTTTTTCTTTTTCTTTTTTTCCATTTTAATGGACCACAGTGTGGAAGTAATTCGTCTGGGACACAGTTATTTTATAAACTGGGACCGGAAGATGTATTACTCTGGGAAAGCAACACCTGCTGAAGCTCGGACAACCACACTCAATGAGGAGCTGGGCCAGATTGAGTACATATTCTCTGACAAAACGGGTACTCTCACTCAAAACATCATGACTTTTAAAAAGTGTTCCATCAATGGGAAGATTTATGGTAAGAGAAATAGTTCCCCCTTTTTTTTAGTGATATTGTTAATGTTCATTAAATTAACACGTAACAACCTTTTTAAAATTAAAAGGAAAAAAAATACCCTCTGAAACCATCACTGGCTTTATTATTAATAAGGGAACCACCAGTACCACTTGACATGTAATAAACACTCAGTAAAAAGTTACTGGATAAATTTTGAATAATTTAGATGGAACTTGGATTTGTTACCATTCATAGATGGAGAGGGGCTTAGAAATGATACTCTCCAAAATTCTATTCCGTACTTAATTTGGATGATCCTGCTCTGCAGGGTTCTAATAGGCCCACATCCCAGGGAGGACAAGTTTGCAGCTTTGTTTATCTTGGTAAAGCAGTATTTTATGTTTGCTTGCTATCAGATCTGGGATTGACATTAGTAAATGTGTTCATGAGAATTTATTATTCATTCCCTGAGAATTCACACTTCACAGGGCTACCTTGTTTGGCTGGAAAAGCTATTTCATCAGTCTAACTTCCTGTTTGTATACTTTCATCAGGATAAATGCTTTGTACTTGGGTTTTCAAAAATTATATTTATTTGGGGCTCTTTTTACCTGAGGATGGCCAGTTAGCAAACATCCTTCTGCCTAGAGCACAGAGCTCAGTGGAACCTTTTGTTGTATTCTCGGAAAGTTCAGAAAATCCAAGTAAGGGAAACTTTTCCTTTGTCTCCTGATGAGAAACTTCATCCATTGCCCAATATTTTAAAGCAAGATTTGACCCTGAACAAAACCAAGAAATACAGGAAGTTGATGTCTGCACCCTGCTGCCTTTTGACTACTCTCTGTTATGCCCATTGCCATAATCCACGGTCACTGTGGCTCCTGCAGCTCTCATCTACCCCAGCTTTCTCTCCTTTCTTCTCTGGTAGTGGACAAGATGCTTTCCCACCCAGACTTTCTCAAATCCTCAGCTGCACTGTGTCAGTGTCATAATGACTGGCAAATGGCACAGAACCTTTCCATAAAACTTTCTTTGGGCTGGGACTGTAGCTCAGTGGCAGAGCGCTTGCCTAGCATGTGTGAGGCACGGGATTCCATCCTTAGCATCACATAAAAATAAATAAAATAAAGGCATTCTGTCCATCTACAACTACAAAAAAATTTTTTTAAAAAACAACAAAAAATCTTTTCTTTGACATTATTTTAGAGGCTTTCTAAAAATACTGCTTTAATCCAAATAGTGGGCTCATTTAAATAGGAAATATTTAGAGTATTAGAGGTATTTTGAAATTGGGGGTTCTTTTTTATTCTTTTCTTACATATTGATTATTTCTAAGAGGCAATCTTAGAAGAAATTATCACTTATGTGGACCAAGATTCCTTCATAGTGATGCTTATTTCAGCATGACTGGTTTTAGAGAAGGCCCTTAGCTTTCACAGGTGTATATCTCAAGATCTTTGCAGCTCTCCAAATTTATAACTCCCATGATAACTTGCAATTTCCATCATAAAATGCAGGAAAGTAACTGAAAAACTTAAGACCCTTAATCTATTTGCCATTATAATTTATAATGCACTTATAGGGCCAATAAAATATACTCTCACTAAAGTGGTCCCAGAAGGTTTCAGAATCACTTTTCTTATTTTCTTACAACTTGAGCTTATTTATGTCATAGATCTTGGCCTTGGGAAAATTTGATACTCTACTCTGCTTTTCTAAACCTTCTTTTTCTAGATCAAAAATATTACCTCTTAGACTTTAATTTTTCCTCATTTTCATCACTAGCCCTATACATGGGCTTTCTGCAGGGGAATCATTTAACACAAAGACACAGATTATCTTCTTCTTCTTCTTTTTTCCCCCCATCATTTTACTATAGTGAGTACATATGTGGTAATGACAAGAACATAACCACAATGAGTTTGAGATTTAAATTCCAAGTGCTTGGCTGGGYTTATTATGCATAGCAAGAGCTCAGCATTCCAGATCCAGACTTGGGCCCCAGAGAAACAATCAATAACTATTTGTGGAGTGTTTTGTGATCACAGTATTGTGTAGTGCAGAGAGAGAAACTTGGGTTCAAAAACCTACCATGCTGACTTTTTAGTTTTAATTTAGTCTGTCATTTTGAACTCTGCAATGCAGTTTCCTCACCCATATAACAGGAATGGAAATTTTCATCTTGAAAGTTTGTTATAAGTATTATTGACAATGTAAGTGGTTGGTATAAGGTTAATGCAGGTAATTCATTATTATTATTGCAAGAAATAAAATCCTTATAAATGGTATTAAACTTTCAAATACCAAGGAAAAGTTGGAAAAATCTAAAATGTTCCACAATAGGGAAAAGGTAAAATAAATCATGCTAAAATATAACAATGGGTTATTATTTGACCCTTTGAAATAGATCCACAAAGAACTTTTAATTATAGAAGAAATTCTCATACTTTGCATGATAAACAGCAAGAACCATAAATTAAAAACAATATGATTATATATATGTATCTACACACACACACACACACACACACACACACACACATACACACCCCAAAACCCCTGCAAATCATGATTATCTCTGGGTGATGGGGCTTAGTGAATTTTATTTTCTATTATAAGTGTCCTGCATTTTCTAACATCTATAATCAATTTTATACTAAGAAGACATTTATCCTTAAGTTTCTGGCACAAAGGTGGTTATGTTCTCTGCCTATGAGGCACTGACTTTTTTTTAAAGCTTACGTGCTAATTTGACCATGATATTCACCAATATATCTGGCTTGAAACTGAGACAGAAAGCCAGGCACAGTGACACTTGCTTGCATTCCCAGTGACTTGGGAGGCTGAGGCAGGAGGAGCACAAATTCTAGGATAGTCTCAGCAATTTAGTGAGGTTCTAAACAACTTAGCAGGACTCTGTCTCAGAAATTTAAAGAAAGGGCTGGGGATGTGTCTCTATTGTTAAGCGCCCCTGGGTTCCAGGCAGGAAAAAAGAGAGAGGGAGGGGGGGTGGGATCAGATAGGAAAATATGTACTCATTAAGCTCTATACCTAAGGGGCTTGTTCTGGCTAAGATTTCATTTTAGTTTCTCTGACAGTGGGGGTAATATGGAAGACAAAAATTGTCTCTTTCAAGCATTAGAGGCATTGTAACAATGAAATGACAACATTTGCAGACAAACATAATGCCAACTTTATATTTTGTTTTAATGTCTACTTCACTTTAGTTCTTGGGCCACCTGAGTACCTCTCTGCATTAATTCCCATTTTCAAGGGTACAAAGATTCCTATTTTGAATTATACTGCCATCCAGTAATTGTGCTTGAATAAGTAAGTGTATTCTTTAAATATGTAAATCTAGTTTCAATTTTATTTACTTTTATTTCTCAATTTTTGTTTTGGCAGGAGAAGTACATGATGATGTGGAGTGTAAGAAAGAAATAACTAAGGTAAGGAAGAGATAAAATTTCATTCTTAGTTTTAATTTCAAATTGTATGTGTTTTTTAAATATAAGTTCCTAGAAGTCTGATTTCCACTATTACCAGATGAGATCTTGAAGCATAACATTATAAAATAGATCCACATGGTTCTAAATTTCTTCACTTCTAGGTCCCCCAACCACAGAGTTCTCTCTGCTTTTAAATTTTTTTAATGTTTTCATTATTAAAATTATTTTAGAAATATGTATGTATATACAAGCAAATATATTTTCCCATTTTTTACATAGGGGGTAGTGTAATGGATACTTTGTTTTTCAATAATACATGTCTTTGAGATCTTTTTGGATCAGTTTTTGAAAAGCACATATTCTTTTAAGGGCCAAATGATATTCTGTTGTATTGATGTCCCACAATTTACGTAAGGAAACACTAAAGGAAGTTTCAAATATTTTCAATATTTTGCTAGTAGAGAAAATGCAGAAAAAAACTGGGTATATTGTTATTCAAGAGTATAACATCCTCTTCTAGAAATGGAATTACTAAATAAAAATGCATGTGCATTTTTCATTTCTGAAGATGTTGCAAATTGACCCTCTTTAGAATTTGTGACAATTGATCCTGCACATCTTCAGACAGGGATACTTTCTTTCTTCCTTTCTAATTAGCATGACTTTAATTTTTTTCTAATCTAAGTATTCTGGATAGGACTTATAGTATTATGTTAAATAGGAGTGATGATAGTGGACAGCCTTGCCTTGCTCTTGATTTTAGAGGAAAAGCTCTCAGTTTTTCATCGTTGAATGTGATGTTAGAGGTGGGCTTTTCATATATGGCCTTTATTATGTTGAGACATTTTTCTTCTCTTCCTCTTTTGTTAAGAGTCTTTTTTATGAAAGGGCATTAAGTTTTGTAAAATGCCTTTTCTGAATCTATTCAGATGATCATATGTTTTTTATTCTTCATTCTATTAATGTGGTGTTTCACTCTGGTTTATTTTCATATGTTGAACCATCCTTGCATCCCAGGGGTAAATCCCATTTGCTTGTGGTATAGGGTCTTTTTAATGTGATATTAGGTTCAATTTGCTAGTATTTTGTTGAGGATTTTTGTAGCTATGTTCATTGGAGATATTGGCTTATAGTTTTTTTTTTTCTTATTATATCTTTGACTTGGTGTCGAGGTAATGATGACTTGAAAATTAGTTTAAGTGTGTTCCCTTTTCAATTTTTGGAAGAGTTTGAGTAGAATTAGCATTAATTCTTCCTTGAATGTACAGTAGATTTTATTAGTGAAGCCATCTTGTTTTTTTTTTCCTTTTTTGTTGGAAGTTTTTATTGTTGTTGCTGTTTTTGAGATGGAGTTTTGCTGTGTTGCCCAGGCTGGTCTCTAAGCTTCTAGGCTCAAGTGATCCTCTGGCCTCAGTCTCCTGAGTGCTGGGACTATAGGTTTAAAATTCAGTCTCCATACTATCTATTGGTCTGTTCAGGTTTTCTGTTTCTTCATGATTTAGATTTGGCAGGTTATATGTTTCTAGAAATTTCTCCATTTCTTCTTATTTATCCAGTTTGTACACATAAAATTGTTCATAGCAGTCTTTTAGGATCTCTTTCATTTCTGCCATCCGTTGTAATAGGTTTTCTTTTTTTTTTTTCTGGTTTTATTTATTTGAATTTTCTCCCTTTAGTTTGTCTTAGTTCATTTTCTGCTTTTACAATAGAATACCCAAGACATAGTAATTCACAAGGACAAGTTTATTTAGGTCATGGTTCCAGAGTCTGGGAAGGCTAAGAGCATGGGTTTAGCAAATATCTGGTGAGAGCATTGTGCTTACTTCATCTTATGGTAGATAACTGGAAAGGCAAGCAAGCATGTGTAGAAGAACTCACATTTATCATCCTCCTTCAAGAACCAACCCACTCTTATGAGAATGGCCTCAATGCATACATGAGGGAACCCTCATGGCCTAAACACCTCCCTTAGCCCCCCACCCCCACCCCTTCCAACACTGCCACGTTGGGAATTAAGATACCAACACATAAACTTTTGGAGACAAATTCAAACCATCACAGTCTGGCTAAAGGTTGGCTAATTTTGTTGTTTATTTATTCAAGAAACCAACCCTTAGTTTTGTTGCTTGTTTTCTATAATTTTTCTATTTCATTTATTTTTTTGCTCTAATCATCTATTATCATCTGCTTTCATCTATTTCTGCTGTAATAAATAATTTCATTTATTTCTTTCCTTCTGGTAATGTTGGTCTTTGTTTTTCTTTTTCTAGCTCTTTGAAGTATAAAGTTAGGCTGAAATCTTCTTTTTAAATTGTGCATTTATTTTTAAGAATATCCTTCTTAGTACTACTTTTGCTACATCCTGTGAGTTTTGTGTAGTGTATTTTCATTTTCATTTGTCTTGAGATAGTTTTGAATTTAAAAAAAATTTTTTTGAACCATTGATTGTTCAAGTGTTGTTTAATTTCCACATTTTTGTGAAGTTTCCATTTTTCCTTCTGCTATTGATTTCTAGTTTCATTCTATTGTGGTCAGGAAAAAAAATAGTTGGTATGATTTCAGTCTTTTGAAATTTGTTGAGATTTCTTTTGTGACCTAACATGTGATCTATTCTTAAGAAAGAACTCTGTGAACTTGAGACAAAAGTGCATTTTTCTCTTGTTGGATAGAATGTTCATACATTTCTTTTAGGTCTGTTTGGTCTATAGTGTTGTTTATATTCTTGGTTTCATTACTGATATTCTGTCTGGATGTTCTATCTAGTAACAGAAATGAAGTATTGACATATACCTTTATTGTAATATTGTCTATAACTCTTTTAAGTTCTGTCAAACTGTTCATATGTCTGGGTGCTCTAATATTGGATTTTGCATATATAATTTCTACCCTTTTTAGGTAATGAGCTTCTTTGTCTCTTGTCATGCTTTGTTTTCCCTTACAGTCTGTTTTGGCCTGTTATAAATATGTCCACCCCAGCTGTCTTTGTTTACCATTTAAGTGGAATGCCTTTTCTTCATAGCTACACTTTCAGCTGATGTGTATCCTTAAACCTAAAGTGTGTTTCTTGTAGGCAGCACATAGTTGGTCATCTTTTTTTAATTCATTAAGTGAATCTTTGTTTTTTGATTGGTGAATTTAACCTATTTACACTTAACGTAAGTATTGATATGGAAAGATTAACTATTGCTGTCTTGTTACCTGGGTTTTTTTGGCATTGTATTTCTTTTGTCTGTCTTTTCCTTTATTGCCATTTCCTTGGTGTTTTGTTGATTTTTTTTTTGTATTGATATACTTTGATTCCTGTTTGTCTTTTTTTTTCCTGTAAGTTCTACAGAATTTTTTAATGGTTACTTTTGAAATTATATAAAATATTTTATAACTGTCTAATTTAATAATAAAGTGCATGTAAAAACTCGTTTGACTTCTCCTTTGCCTACTTTTTGTTATTTATATCATACTTTATATCTATTTGTATCTTGTTATTTTAGTTATAGTTTTTTAATATTTGTTTTTAGTTGTAGATGTGCATAATACCTTTTTTTTAAAAAAAAAAAATTTTATGTGGTGCTGGGGATCTAACCCAGTGCCTCCCACATGTGAGGTGAGCACTCTACAACTGAGCTACAACCCAGCCCTAGTTATAGTTTTTTGGATAGTTTTATCTTTTAAATTTTATTTTTGAATTAGAAGTGATTTACCTTCCACCTTTACCCTAATGCAGTAATATTTTTTCCCTTACTTTGATTGTAGTTACACCTAATTCAAGGAGATATGGGTTTAGGTTTTACTAATTTACCTAAAAATGGAGGTTGGTTTATTTGTTTGTTTCTAATTCTCTCCCTCTGTCTGTCTGTCTGTCTCTCTCTCTCTCTCTCTCTCTCTCTCTCTCTCTGATTTCTAGCAAGGCAAGGTAGAAATCTATCTTTGAATTGTAATGAGCAAGTTAAAAGTTTGACTAATATTTGTTGACCTTTCAGTGCTCTGCCTACAAATTCTTGCTTTTTCTAATTTCAGAGACACTTTGAGTGCAATGGACAAATCATCCAGAAGTGGAAAAAGGGAGCTTTGGTAATTGTCTGGCAGAGTTTGGCTTCTGACAGACAAATACATTGAGTACTTGGCCCCTTTCTTTCTTTTCTGATTCTTTGGCCACATGCACTAAAGCCTCAGCCATACCATACTCCTTAAAGTCTTTCCAAATGAATCACATTCAGTTTCTCATATAGGCTTCTTCAAATGTTATAGCCTTAGCCTGAAATCATCTGACTGTAGTTCTTTGTATGGCTCACTCTTGTTCATTCCTCCAGCTTCAACTTAGATTCTACTTGTCTAGGAATCTTTCCTAGGTACCCTGGTCCAATGTGCTTGCTTCATCACATAAGTCACTACATTGTATGTCCTGTTCGCAGAACATTTTCTTCTGCTATAACAGAATATTAGAAACTGAGTAAACTGTAAACAATTAAAGGTTATTTGAATAACAGTTCTAGAGACAAGAAGTCCATGATTACGGGGCTCCATTCAGTGAAGGTATTCTTGCTGCATCAAAATGATGGTAGGACAGCTAAGCACACACAAGACGGAAATATTGCTGAACTTATCCTTTTATTAGGAGCCCACCCCAAGAGGGTCTTTCAAAGGTCACACCTTTTAATATTGTTACAATGGCAATTAAATACAGCCTGAGTTTTGAAAGGAATAATCAAACCATACCATTTGTATTTTGATGCTTTTCTCTAAAAGAGAAAATTTAATCAAGGGCAATGATGCTATCTGGTTTACCACTCTACTTTCAGAACCCAGAACACTGCCTGGTGCATTGTAGGGTGCATGATGAATATTTGATGAATGTATTGAGTGTGTATTTCAAAGTACACTGGTTGTCTATTAAACAGTGAATGGCCAGTATATCTTGAAACTCTGGGCATTAGATGTGCTCAGTACTCGAGTGACTATTAAAATAACCTCTTTTTAGTATTCTTTTGACTTATATTTTGTATTTCAAATATCTGAATGATCAGTTTTTTTAAAAAGTCAAAACCTAAGATGGTATAAGCTCCATGAGAGTAGAAATCTATCTTGTTGTCTTCTGAGTTTCACTTTCCTATTACCTAGAAGAGTGCCCAATATATAATGAAAAATCAAAGGCATTTGTTGTTGTTGTTGTTTTGTTTTTATTGAATGAGCAAATGGTCAGGTGGAACAAAAGCGCCTCCTTCGGTTTTATGTATTATACCTGTGTCTTGACTCATCTAGCCTTGGCCTTGTGGGAGTTAACTGAAAGTCTTTCGATGTAGTAATACTTCTCCCAAACAAGGGTGTCTTCAAATAGCACAGATTTTCTGGGTAAGAACTGAGAGTATTTTCCTAGTGAAATGCCTTCTACATTCTGGTACTTAGTGGCCTGAAGTCACAGGGCCACCTTCCTTCTTCATCTAAAAGGCACACCTGACACTTAAGTCCTGCTGATATAAAGAATTTGATCAGTTTCAGTGTTAGAAGTGAACGGGCAATAGAAAGTCACGCAACATTAACAAAACATATGTGATGAAATGTGAGATATAAAAAACCAAAATACATGAAACAATAAGAACTAATATGATTTTAAAAATAGAGTTGAACTTAGCAATATCAATAATAGAACTTTAATGCCACTACTGTGATTTGGGAAGTCATGGTGCCCATGAAACAAAAAACATGATGCTCTGGAAAGAACACAGTCAAGAAAAACAAACAAATCTCCTGGAAAATAATAATAAAAAAGTGATGAAATAATATATTCAACCATAGAGGGCTGGAAGACTAAGTCAAAGACTCTCCCAGAAGTAGAGGGAAGGGAGAGAACCAAAACACAGAAGAATAAAGATAAAATGGAAGGTTAGCTGGCAGAAGCAAAATTTAGGCAAGTAGTTTCTAAGGAGAAAGAACAGACAATTATAAAAGAAATATCAGACTCTAAGGATAAAGAGGAACTGAAAGCTTTCCGAAGAGAGAAGTGTCTCAAACTATGAGACAAGTAGGAGGGAAGAATAGAGGCATTTTCAGGCAAAACGACTCAAAATATTTACTTCCCATGATCTTTTTCTTCTGCCCCAATAAAATAAGGAAATGGATTAAGAAAGGGGATGGCAAGAGATGAAGAAACCGACTCCAGCCCAGGAGGATCATTGAGGGAAATCCCAGGGTGTAGCCCAGTAGCAGACTTGGCAATCATACTTGAGTGGACAAGGCCACAAAGACCCTTATAGTCAAGTGCACTTCTGACCTTTTCTGTGAGCAATATTTCAAATCCATATTATGCACACTGCGTGTATTGCTTTTAGAGTCAATCCTTAGACCAGTGAGAAGGATTTAAGTTTGGTTACAGTATGGGGTCTGAGTGTTTTAAACATCTATAGTGAGCTAGAAAAAAATATGAATGAGAGGTTGGAAGAGAAAAGAGACATGAAGAGGAGGTGCGGGTGGGTAAATAAGGGAATGTTTATAATTGATGAACTCAAACAAAACAGAGGTCTTTCTTACATTAAAGTTACAGAAGGAACCGGTAGAGACATTAAAACCAGGAATATATGCATGTCATTAGAAAGGGAAAGGGAAAATGGAGACGTGGATTTGAACTAACTCTTTAGCTGTGGAAGAAAATTTTTAGATAAGGTCTAATACTTTTAAATCCAAAAATAGTGACATAAATGCATAATTTAGAATTCCAGAGGTTCATCTGATGTCCTGGGGGACACAATGTGGGCTCTGTAGCTGATAAACCCTTAGAAGTAAGTGTCCAGAGAAGAGCCTTCTGTAGGTTTGCTCCTAAAATAGATACAGGTTCACAATCCTTAATCTCCAACTTGGGGACTAGATGTATTCAGAAATTCAGAACTTTCTCGTTTGAAGAAAGATACTGTGACGTGTCTGCCATTATATTATGCAGTTATCTCCAGTAAGACCTGAGAAAGTACCTAGTAATCAAGCACATTGGTAATTTTGTATTGGAAAAATATTAATTCACAAGTATTAAGTGGGCTAAAAAAGAAAGCCTATAATCAGACACATGCTATTGTCAGACATTGTTGCCAAAGTGAGTCAAATGAGTTCAGGTTTTGCCATTAAGTAGATTTTGTTTTCTGGGATTTTTGTATTTAGCATTTGAACATTGTAGATTTTTCTTCTCTGTATACTTTTGGTACATTCATTGCTTTGGTGCAGGTTCTGAGATGAGAAGATTACATTTAACAGTGATGATGAAATAGCCCTTTTAGCACTGGGCATTTGAAGCTGCAATATACAAACACTAGAAATACTTGGAGGAAGTAATTTAACATTTTAAAAGGTTGTTGTTGGAATGAGATGTATAGTTCTTTTTGGTATTGTTATTGTTCTCCTGCAGAAAAAAGAATCTGTGGATTTTTCAGTCAAATCTCAAGCTAAGAGAACATTTCAGTTGTTTGACCACAGTCTTATGGAATCTATTAAGCTGGGAGATCCCCAAGTACATGAATTCCTTAGGTTACTTGCTCTCTGCCACACTGTAATGTCAGAGGAGAATAACACAGGTAAGTGAAACATATGGCTGAGTGGTGAGTCTTGTTTTTAAAATAAAAATTAATGTTAAATTTGAAGGATTTTGAATTTAGGCTGAAACATTGCATAAGGGGTTTAACCCTTTACTAGCTTTTCTTTTTATTTGTTTATATCCCGAATGCTTTTTTAAAATATGGGGATACTAAAGAAAAAGAAATAGTGTCAATGGAAAGGTGAGGACCCAAATATGCCAGTCTAAGGGGATGAAATATTTCTTATAATTGAACACCACATTTGCCTCTGAGCTTCGGGTACCCAGAACAAACACAGAAATACAGTTGAATTACATAGTCAAGCATGTCTAATAGATGCAGAGGCCCACCAGGCATATGCTTAGAAAGAATATTCCCATTTATAGCAGCATAATTTATAATTCACAGCATAGCTAAGCTATGGAACCAATCTAGATGCTGTTCCACAGATGAATGGATAAAAAAAATGTGGAAGATATATACGATGGAGTATTCCTTAGCCATAAAGAAGAATGACATTATGGTATTTGTCAGTAAATAGATGAAACCTGAGACTATCATGCCAAGTGAAATAAGCCAGTCTTAAAATGTCAATGGTTGAATGTTTTCTCTGATATCGGGAAGCTAATCCAAAATAAAAAAAAATTTTTAAAAAAAGAAAGACAAAGGGAAAAATGGGAGAGGGAATTTCATCAAAATAGGGGAAAGATCAGTAGAATGAACACAGGGGATTGAGAAGAAGGAAGAAGGGATGGGAAAAGGGAGGAACAGTGGAATGATTCTGATGGAACTTTTGTATGTGCATGCATGATGTGGCACGGCGGGTCTTGGCGTTGTGTTTATACACAGGACACTAATAAAAAAAGAAGCAGACTCTAAATGGATCGAAGAGGGATCCATGGAGTGGAGGGAGCACCGGGAAGTGGGGTGGGAGGGAAGTGCTGGCCACTGAATTGGAGTGGGTTGTATTCCATGCTTTTGTGATTATGTCAGGGTGTTATCCTGGTGGTGTATATAAATGAAAAGAATAAGTAATACTAAAAAAAGAATCTTCCCCAAATAGGGATAACTTTACATTAATATTAGAATACTTTCTGTCCCCATACAAGCAAGTTCTCCTACTTACAACATGGTTGTTTGAGACTCAGGGTTCAGAGAATAGAGCAAAAGTAGCGGGACTACTTTAAATTTTGAAGCTGTGAGGTGGGTAGATAATGTTACATTACATTAAATGAAGCCCTATCCATTCCATTTATAAGTTTTGTTTCTTTCAATTACCAAATATCGAGAAATATCAAAATTACTACCCAAGTAATTTCAACTAAAAAGTGAAACATACATAACTTATAAGTATGTGTGTATGTGTACATAAACACTTCTATACAATGACATGTGGTTAGAGGATGATTGTGTGTGTGTGTGTGTGTGTGTGTGTGTGTGTTTATTATTTGCTATTTTCTTCCCTATTGGGACTACACGCAAGTCCTAGTTTTGTCCTTGATGATGCTAGATTAACCCATTCCTCAGATTTTAATAGCTTTGGGATTCACATAATTATATTTGTGACTTGAACCAATCGTTATGATATTAACACCAATAAGGAATGGTTATATTTCCATCTGGGAATATGCCTTTAAGTAAGTTTCTTTTATCTCTGCCTTTGAGTTTATTTCATTTCCAAAATTCTATTTTGTTTTAATAGAAATCTGTTTTCCATTTAATGTTATGATATTCTTTAGACCTCTTTGAGGATATTAATTATACTTAATTTAAAATTTTTGTTTATTTGGTTAAAACACTCATTTTATCAAGTGTTCTGTGTTTTTGAGTTCTGTGTCTGACTTTCACGTTGTTCTCAAATTTTGTGGTTGTCTGCTCTTACTTGTGTTTGAGAACCCTTGTTTGGTGAATGTAGGCTGTCATGTAGCAGCTGTTTCCTGAGACGTGCAGGAGAAATAGCACCTTGTGGTTTGTCTCCTGAGATTCCTGACACCCCCGGGGGATACTATCTTGCTTTCCAGATAGGGTACTTAGCAGTCTGTCAGAACCCCTATTTGAGACAATGTTGTATGTAAATTTGTTGATGAATTCCTTCCCTTCTCTTCTTTCTCTTATCCTTATGGAACTCTGAAGTTGCCTTAGGTTCTGCTCAGTTTTGGATTCCAGTCCCAGGATTCAAATCTTGGAGACTTCTTGAGGTGAATTGTATACTTAGTTTAGAAGAAATTATATACTTAGTTTAGAAGAAACATTTTCAAGGTTTTTATCCTGGGACAAATAATTGTTCCAACCTGTTATTCAGAGTAAGCTGGCAGGGGGAACCCAAATGGTCCCTGAGTGCTAAATGTGATTCTTTAATAAATTTTACTAATGATGTCCTCATGACTACCTCTGTTCTTCTCATTTGTTGGCTGAGTTTGGAGAATCTATGGGGATTGTTTAACCTCTGTGTTCATTTTTCTTTTGCAAATGTTTTGAGCTGTTTTTCTCTATGTTTTCCCTTTGTTGATCAAATCTACATTTTATTTTCCAGAATTTTCTCAAATTTGCAGTTTACTGAGAATATTCATTTTTTAGTATCATTTAATTTTTTCAAATTATGACATAATTAAATGTAATAAAGTGTACAGATAATGAATGTATAGTTTGATGAAATTGGACAATTACACAGGCTCTTATAACCACCATTCCTGTGAAGATATAAAATTCTTCCATTACTCCAGAGTAACTCTTCATGTCCTTTTCCATTCAGTGCCCACAACCCCTGCCCAATCAACTACTACCCTGGCTTCTATCATTAAAGATGAATTTTGCCTATTTTTGTACTTCATACAAATAGAAACATACAATGTACATTTTTTTGTGTCTGGCTTCTTTTACACAGTGTACTGTTCTTGTCATTCATCTGTGTTGTTATATTGGTTAATAGTTTATTTTTTATAGCTGAGTAATATTCTATTGAATGAATATACTATAATTTTTTCCAGTTCTCTGTTGAAGCATATTTTGGTTGGTTCCAACCTTGGGCTTTTGTGAGTAAAGCTACCACACACACATTTTTATGTCTTTAAAAACATTTGTTTTAATTGGGGGGGAGGGGTAAGTATTTAGGAATGGAAATTGCCAGGTCATAGTATAGATATATGTTTAGTCTTAAAAACTTCCAACTGTTTTATAAAAATGATTGAATAATTTTACATTGTTTTCTCATCAATGTAGGAGAGTTGCTGTATCTCCACATGTTAACCAACCCTTAATGTTATCATTTTTTAAAATGTTAACCATTCTAGTGGATATAGGTTAATAGCCCTTCTGTCATTTAAAAGGATTATTGAAGTGAGGAGAGTTAGATATACATATCATTTCAACTGTTTCTATTTCTTGCTTTGAGATATTAAATTGTAAGTGAAGGATGAGTTACTGAGTAAGGAAAAATTGTACTTGCTTTCCTTTAGAGTTTTAATTATGGGATATGTAGCTTAAAAATTAAAATAAATCCACATATGTTAAAGTACATTGAAAAACATAGACTTTTCTGTATAAATGTTAGTTATGAAAAAGAACAGAACCCAAATCTAACACACTTAAATTATATGATTATATAATTTTATGGTTGAGAGTATTGCTTTTGAGTATGTGATATTTGTTTCATGAGGAAGTTATTTGGAGAAGTTGCTGTTCTCAGTTTCTTTACCAGGATGAAATTTCCAAAGTAGAAAAATGAAAAGTCCAAGGATATTTTCTTATTTTCTAGTGGATGATAATAAAAGAAATTTTTAAAATTAATTTTTTTTCTTACTGCCTCACTGTTTTAATCCTTTAAAATTTGTTGAGCTTTACTCTATCTATGGCCTAGCATATGTTTCATTTATATAAATACTTAATGTGTGCTTGAAATGAAAGTGTTTTCTATAGTAATTGGGTACTAGGTTCTAAATCTATCCAATAGATAATGTTTGTTAATAGTATTATTCAGTCTAGTTCTCTCTGGATAATTTTAACTACTTGAGTTCTCAATTAATGACAAGATATTAAAATCATTAATTATCATTGGGCATTTTTATATTTACATTTGCAGTTTTACCAATGTTTATGTTTTAAGTTTATATAAGTAGTCATATAGTCATTAAATTAAAATCTTTATCAATATATACCAATCCTCTAATAATATTTTTGGTCTTAAAGTTTATTTTATCTTATATTAATATAGTTATAGGTGTTTTCCCTTTGTTAATATTTGTATTGTTTAGCTTTTCCACCCTTTAATGTCTATCTTTTTCCCCAAAGGATAAATGGAATATTTAATCCATTTGCCTTCAATTATTGTTGATATATTTAACTTTTAAGTATTGAATAGGCAATTGTTTACATATTTATATTTCTTTCTACCATCTCTTTTATATTTGCCTCACATGTTGTCTCTTATTCTCTTCTTTTTTGGAAATAATATACCCTAATTTGTGTTCTTTTAGTGGTTATCCTAGAAATTATAGCATAATTAACTTATAAAAGCTTAAGCCTTCTTTTGAACAAGGCAAGTATCCTTTAATACTCTTCAACCCTGTCCTGACTTATATAATATACTTGTTATATGTCCTTGTCATGTATTTTAATTTTTTCAAACGCACAAATGTTATTTTTGCTGTTTTCATAGTTAGTGTTTGATTCATTTTATATGTTTGTTAGTTTCTATGTTCTTCAATGATTATACTATATCTCATCTATTGACTTAAAGTTTACATTTATAGCTATGATATTTTTTWAAAAAATTATATCACTTGGGATTCATTGAGATTCTTGAATCTGTAGAATGTTATCTTTCATCACCTCTGCAGTGTTCTTACCCATTATTTTTTCAAATATTGTTTCTGGTCCATTTCTTTGTCATGTTGGGTCCTCAGTGTTAAATATTTTCATGCTATCCTTTATACTTTTTAACTATTCTCTTATTTGCCATATCTTTATCTGTCTGTAATATATTCCAGAATTTTATCTGTTTTTCCCCAGTCCAATAAATTCTTTCTACAGTTTTTTTTCCAAATCTGCTTAATCGCATGCCTTAATTTTATACCTTGAAGTCTATAAAATATATTGCATGTGCTATTTCAGATCACTCCAATATCTAAGCTTTTGCAGGTCTTATTCTCTCTTGTCTGATGGTTCTCATTGTGTCTCACTTATAGACATTTTAATACTTTTTACTGTGAGCTGACATTTTTTTTCTTGGAATTTATTTGTAGAAATTCCTTGGGTCCAATTTGTTCTTCTACGAAGGATTTAAATTTGCTTTAATCAATGTTCTTTTAAATATTTTTTTGTATTTGTAGATGGACAACAGGCCTTTTTTCCTTTGTTTATTTTTTATATGGTGCTAAGGATGGAACCCAGTGCCTCACGCATGCTAGGCAAGCACTCTGCCACTAAGCTATAGTCCCAGCCCACTTTAATCAATATTTTAATGCAGGAACATCTCAAACTAATTTTTCAACTTGATTTTGTTTTTAGGCCACCTGGATATTGTGAATTCAGGAGGAAAATATATATAAGAGTTGGTCTTTGATAATAAATTTTCAGATTTTTTCCCTTCTCTTTATAATTAGGGTTCTAGATAGGCAATTTTCATTGTACCTCTTCTTCAAAGGGACACAAATTTCTAATTCACCCCTATACTGAGAGAGTAGTCTTTGGAGGACTCAGTTTTACAAGGTGACTTCTAACCTTGGGTAGGCCCTAGCTATACCTTTTCTAATCCAACACTTGAGAAACTGAAAATCAATGATCAAATTCTCCTGGGTCAAGGAGACTCTGTGGAAGTGAATGCCTGTAATCCTAGCTACTTGGGAGGCTAAAGCAGGAAGACTGTAAATTCAAGGCCAAGTTGTTCAATTTAGCAAGACGCTGTGTCAAAATAAAATTTGAAAAGGACTGGGGATATAGCTTAGTATCAGAGTGATTGCCTAGCATGCGTAAGGCTGCGGGTTCAATCCTGAATACAGAAAAAGAAAAAGAAAGAAAAATTTTAGCTTTCCTGATTTGGAAAGTGCCCTCAAAGCAAAAGCTGGCTATAGTAATTCTTTTTTTTTWAAATTCTATATGTTTTATTTTTCTCAATATCTGACCTAAACAATTCTTGCTTTCCAGTTAATGGATATATTAAAAAATATTAAAATCATTTTAGAGTTATTTGCAGAAAAATTGGTTGGTCCTGGCATCCCATTCACCATGTTGCCAGGAGTAGAAGTTATATCAGTTCATAAGTAGAATAGTAATTGCTTTAAGTCTTTTCCTTTTTTTGAATTTCAAATATTAATTCATGACTACTGTATCAAGTAAAACAATACAAATCAAAGGTTTACAAAGGCAAAGCAATCATCTTTCCTAAACTCTTCCATCTCATCCCTGCAGAGGTAACTAGTGATAACATTTGGTATATATAATTTCATTTTTTGTAATGGCTCATATGCATATATTAAGAATACATGCTGATGAGTAGGGATTTTTTTAAACAAAAAGGAACCAGAGTGCATACATTAATATCAACTTGCTTTCTTAACAATTTATCTTGAACATCACTATAAATTGGCATACATGAGTGTAGCTCTACCTGCTTTTTCTAATTCATTTTTATAACCATTATATAATTTTTATATATAAATTTAAAAGAATAGTTTAACTTTATTTGTTATCTCATTTTTTTTTCTCTCTTCTCCTCTCTTACCCCTCCTCCTACACACACAATATCAAGTAACAAGTATTAACAAGCTGGTTTGATTCCTGACATTTCAGTGGGTTGTTTTGTATTCAATCTCATAAAATGGTCATTAGTGGCTACCTGAAGTGAAATTCAGAATATCTGCTCCCTCTCTTTTTTGCTGTGTGATCTTGCCAAAAATCATATAATCTCTTTCAGATCTAGGTCCCACAGGCATAAGATGGAAATAATAATTTAATAATCTTTACCTCAAAGACTTGCCCTGAGGATTATGTGAGTTAGTATATGTTAAAATATTTCAATTTCATTTGTAGTCACTAAAACACAAAAGAGTGGTCTCTGACGTAAGAAACTTATAGAATGTGGAGAGCAAAAGCCAGTGGATATTTTGCTACAAGATGACAAGGGCTGAATGGTGCTATGCATGAAGCTTTGTGCTAACCCAGAGGATAGACACCTGGTTCAGCTGGTGGGGAATTAGGAAGATCTAAGTGTAGGAAAGATTTTTAAAGCTGACACTTGAGTTGGTCATTGGAGAATGAGTTGGGATTGGCATTGGAATTCTATGATTGTTAGAAATTATTCTCAGTATTGACACATTTGTTTCTTTCCCTTTTAGGACAGCTGATTTACCAAGTGCAATCACCTGATGAAGGGGCTCTAGTAACTGCTGCTAGAAATTTTGGGTTCATTTTTAAATCTCGGACCCCAGAGACAATAACAATAGAAGAATTGGGAACACTAGTCACTTATCAATTGCTTGCTTTTTTGGATTTCAACAATATCAGAAAAAGAATGTCTGTCATAGGTATGGTTGGTACCAGATTATTTTTGATCTTTTGATAGTACTATGGTTATATTGATGCTTTTCAAAAATTACTTCACACTTGGCTATATGCTGAGAGTTATTTTTGTGAAGGAACTCCTGTGATCTTCAACTTAGCCTCAAAACTGTAGTAATACATGCCTAATGTTTATCATTTAGTGTTTACTGTGTGCCCAGAATTGTTCTAACTACTCTACCTGAATTAACTGATTAAAATGTCACAATAACCATAATAAGGTAGGTACTATAAATGTAATGCCTGTTTTACAGATAGAMATAAAGAAGCAGAATAACTTGCCTAAAGAGGCAGACTGAGAGTTCACACCCAGACAGTATGACTGCAGAGTCCATTCATCTTATCCTTCATAGTACTGGCTCAGAATGAGTTTCTGAATTGCTTGACATGTGCTAGCAATAGCTCCTCCTCAACAGTATTCATTCTCTCTGTTCAACCCATTGTTGGAGATGATCACCTAACACTATTCAGCACCACAACAAATCCATGCTTTCCTAACTCAGTGCTCTATTGATGCCCTCAAAGATATACTCTATCAATGTACTGTTTTTCCCATATCGGAGAGATATCTTTACTGATTCTCTTTCTTGACCAGAGAACAATTGCTCTTTTTCCTTTTCAAACTGAAGGTTCTTCCTGGTGCCTTTGCTATCCCTGATTGTTTCCTTCTTGCTTGTGCCTTTGATTTCTCCATCACTGGCTCCTTCTTTCATCCCACAACTCTACCATCATCCTGTTTCCTTAAAAATATTCTTCATGTTGTGATGTGCACTGAGCCCACCAGCCCATTCTTCTGCTCTCTGTCACAGATGAATTTCTCAAGGTCAGTTTGCCCAGTAGGGTTAGACTACTGTTTCCTCTGCACAAAAAGGAATATCTTTTCAGATATTTCCATAACCTTTCAAAACTACCCATATATTATTTTTACTTATAAGCCTGATAATCTTTTATATTACTGTTCTTCTCTTTTTTTCCCTTTATTTTTTGCAGTACTGGGGATAAACCCAGGGCCCATGCTTGCTAGGCAAGTGCTTTTTACCACTGAGCTACACCCCAATCTGATCTTCTCTTGATACTCCTTCTTTTGGACTCTGTGACCTCTCTGGCTCTAGGTTATCCTCTAGTACAGCATTTTCTTTCTCAAATTCCTTTACTGTCTGCTCTCTTTCATCCCATTTTTTAATATTTGCATCCTTTTCTTTTACTTCCTGTGTTCTTCTAGGACAATCTTGACCACTCATGTGGTAGTGGCTATTGGTTGAATTCTGTGACCTGCTTATATACTTCTTCAGCTTCATCCTCCCTCTGAGGTCCAAACACACATTGTTAGGCATCTCCTGGATGCTATCAATGGATTGCATTATAGTTATATAAAATTTTATGTCAAATATTGAACTGTCTCATGACTATTATCCTTCCTATAGTTTGAATTAAAATTAATAGTTACCTTTTACTAAAAACCTGCCAGTGAACTGAACACTTTATAATGAATTATTTTATTGAATTGTTGCAACAGTGAATTGCCCTCATTTAGGATATGGGAAATTTTAAGTAGCTTACCCAAGATTGTCACACAACTTGCCATTTAGCTAGTCAGATACACAGAAAATATTTGAACTCGGGTTTGTCGTCTTTACAGTCTGGCCTCTTAACCTATTGTAGGTAACCTTCATATTCTTTGTGCCCCCTAGAATAATGGTTCTCAAACATTAATTCCTATCAGAATCACCAGGAGGGCTTGTCAAAACACAGGCTGTTGGGCTCCAGTTTCTGGGTTCTGATTCAGTTGGTTCAAATTTGCATTTCTATCAAGCTTTCTGGTGATACTTGTGCTACTGGGCAGGGGACCACAGTTTGAGAACCACTTGGCTAGACTAATGTATCCTCAGATGATAGTCATTGTTTTTCCTAGATGTTTAAGGCATTTCTTAAAACTGATTTCCTTTCACCTATTCTCTTAATTCAGCACATCTCTAGAATCTTGTTGTCAACCTGTTTCTAAATCTTTCTTCCACAAAAGCATCAGAGTAATGTTACCAAAAACAGTCTCATAAACTACTTCTTATTGTAAAAGTCATTTTTTTTCTCTTAATTCCTAGTACTTAAGGGTCTAGTCCCTACTTGGTTATATTATTGCAATATCTTTAAAATGTTCCCTTTAAAATAATCCTGTGTGCTGCCATCAGGGTACTCTTTCTAAAACATAGTCCTGATTTTGCTACCACCTACTTAAAGAAGCATTGATGCTTTCCCAGAATGTAAAGCATGAAGTCCTTAGTGTGGCACACAACATTATTTGCAACTAGATATCACCTATTCTTCTTCTACTTTCCAAACTTTGAGTTCCAGCCTCACTAGACCGCACCATTTCTGGGATGCTTTTATAGTTCTATACTCTTTGCTCATGCCATTCCCTCTGTCTAGAAGTCTTTCCCCCTACTTTTATTTATTGAAAATTCCTTTCATCTGGTTAAAATATTCAATTCAAATATTACCTATTTATCTTTTCCTAGTCTCCAAATAACTCCATCCTCTGGTGATGCCCAAAGTGTTTTGTTCATAACATGAATGTGACACAGGTCCCATGACACTCATTATTATCCCAATCAGTACCTTGTGTGCAACCTGAGGGCAGGTGCTGTGCCTTAGTCTTCTTACACTGCTCAGGGCCAAGCACACAGCTTGGCACTCAGTTAAGATTTTTTATAAATACTTGTTAAGTAAAATTCAACCCAACACTTTGTAACTCATGAATATCTTCATCAGTGTTTAAAGGCAATCTCTAATGTGGAAAATGTGTATGTATGTAATGTCAGGGTTTGGGGTTTTTAATGGAAACTAGCCCTGAGAGATTGCTCTCAGTAAGTAAAAACCAAATGCTATTCGAGGATATTTATTTCTGCTTTTTTTGATGACAGGCTGTATATAGGCTGCCATTGTCTGCCAAAGAACACACATGCTGCTTTAAGTCTCTAGGTGTTGGCTTAATTTTGGTGTCAGCAGGCTACCTGCTATTTACAATCTCAGGGGAGGTATTACTGTTGCTGGTTTGGCCCGGATTTGATTTCTCTTTGCTCTGAGGGTGTTGACAAAAACCTAAGATTGCTACACAAGGACACTTTTGGCTTTTCCTCAGCCTTGGTCACCATTACAGGCTGTGGAGAAATCACAGCCTAACCACAAACATCAGATGTCTGCCTTAATGGATTCCATATGAAGTAAGGTAATGCTCCACCACAGAGGATATGGAAGCTTGCAGGCTTTACTTTGGTTCTGTTTGGTTTTTAATCAGGAGGAATTTGAAAGGGACTCTACTAGGGTAGAAAAGTCTCCATTTGATAACTAGGCAAGAAACAGTCCTAGTCTCATGATTGTCATGTGGTATAGTTTGTGGCGACAACACTGTCCTGAAGACCCAGACATTTGCTACTGCTGCTGTTTCTGCTTCCTCTCCTCCTCCTCCCCCTCCTACCCTTCCTCCTCCTCCTTTTCCTCCTCCCCCTCCTTCTTCTCCTCCCCCCCTCCTCCTCCTTTTCCTCCTCTTTCTCCTCCTCCCCCTTCTTCTTCTCCTCCTTCTCCTCCTCTCTCTCTTTCTCCTCCTCCTCCTCCTTCTCCCCCTCCTCCTTCTCCTTCCTTTTTCATCTTCTCATAATCCTCTGCCTTCATTTTTACCCCTTATCATTCATCAAATCATCTATATATAGTTTTAATACCACCAAGTCTTCCATTCTGGGGTAAGAACCCTGATTTAAATGATTCTGATTTCTATAGAATTTTGTTAGAGGGCAAAAAATGTATTATATTACTAAACATACAAATCTCATTATATCATTTTGGAAGCACCCATTGTACTAGTTTGGTAAATAAAAATATAAAGATAAAATTCAAAGATATTTAATAGAGATAACTGGCAGATAATCATTAAAGCAACCTTTGGCTCCTTGAAAAAACCTTACAAGATCTTTAGACAAAGGTTACTCAACTTCACTTTATACAGATGATCAAACAGTACAAACCAGGGTGCCGCAGGACAGGCACCGCTCTCTGTAGAATTATTCATCTCCCTTTCCAGCGCTCCTGTTACATCTATCTGGAAGTCATATCCTATTTTTCTCTTTCCTTTATGTCAAAAATATATAACTATTGCTTTCAATGAATTTTGCCCAAGTATAATTCATCTTAATTAAGCAAATATTTATTAAGTACCTACTGTGTTCTAAGGGAGAATGTGAAAACCTGAAGCAGGCTCTATTTGGCTACATTCGGGGGAGTATGATGAAGAAGAGTAGGCATAGATGGGAAAAGGGTGGATTTTGATGAACTTTTCATAGGCCATGTTAAGGAGTCTGAACTTGATCTAGGACAGATGAGAGATACTGAAAGATTCTAAGCATCAGTGTCAAGATGATGCTGGCTGGAATATACAAAAGAGTTTGGAAGGAAGCCAGAATGAAATGAGTAAAATCAGTTCAGTTAATGTAAAAATCCAGGCAAGAGTGAAAGATGGCAGAGAGAAATTCATGGCTCTAGTGGGATTCACTGGTGGCAGGGGTTGGGAGGAGCTATGAGTAATAATGTCCATATTTCTAGTTTAGAAGACAAATGGATAGTGAAATTGATTACTGAGGCTACAGACATAAGAAAGATAGTAAATTATTGGTGGAAAGTAAGTCTGTCCAGTTTGAGTTTGATGTGTTTGGACACATCCAAGAAAAGTTCAGTTGGTAGTTGAAGAAAGTGCTGAAGATGGTTTTGGGCAGAAGAGATCTGTCTGAGAGCAGTCAGTCTATAGATGGAAACTGGAGCCACAGATATGAAGTTAATTGCACACAAAGAATATAAAGAATGGGAGGAGAAATATACTCTGTAAATCTCTGATGAATAGAGATCTGTTGATTATTTAAAGGGCAAGCAATAGAAGATTTATAACTTAAAAACTGTGACCTTTGTGCAGGCCCTGGCCATATGTTATTTTGTCCTTTTAAAATTATTATGTTCTTTTTAATTTGTTTTGAAAAGCTAACTTCTGAAACGATGAAGATTTTATTGAGTTTCAACAGAAATGACCAGTGGTCTAGGATAAAAAGAGGTTGAAAACTCGCTGAGCTCCAAAAGAAATGTTTAGTTAGTAAACTTAAACAGGATTTCATGAAACTGGATTTATACAAACTTAAATTTAAAGGGTGGATGCTGATTAACAGACACTGTGGTGCACACCTGTAATCCCAGCGACTCAGGAGGCTGAGGCAGGATAATCTCAAGTTCAAAGCCAGCCTCAGCAAAAGCGAGGCACTAAGCAACTTAGTGAGACCCTGTCTCTAAATAAAATACAAAAAAATATGACTGGGGATGTGACTCAGTGGTTGAATGCCCCTGAGTTCAATGCCTGGTACTCCCCATCCCCCCAAAAGAAAAGGTAAAATGTATAGAAAATATTGAATCAGAAAATTGTACAGATGGAAAGGACCCTTGAAATTATAGTGTTCAAATATCTCCTTTTTACATGTAGAAACTGAGGTAAGAAGGTGATAAGGGACTTTCACAAATTATAATCAGTTTGTGATTACACTAAAGTAGTTGTTCTCAATGTTTGGGGGAACCTTAGGGAAATTTTTGATTTTTTTTCAATGGATGTATAAGGCCAAAAGTATTTTCATTATATAAACACATTATTTGCCTTTTTCATTCTTTTTCTCATGAGTATACTGTGGAGTTTATAGTAGCCGTGATATATGATATCACAACAGAATACATGCCTAAGCAGATAGGAGAATCCAATTGTCTTTTATTAAGCCTGACATTAAAGGTATCTGAATTATGTATAACAGTGCCACTCTCCAACCTCTTTTTGGGGGGGTTTTAAAAAAATACAGTCATAGAAAGTTATGTTAGTACATATTAGTTTTTATTATTACTATTAATTATTGCTATAGTGATATTATAATTAGTGTTATAAGACTATTAACATTTGGAGTCTTCAGTAAGTATTAAGTGTGTAAAATTGAGATTAAAAAATTGAGAATTGATGTCCTAGGCTGGACTATAAAAAGTAATCATCAAGAAATAATAATGGCAAATGAAAGATATACATACTTTGCTTCTATATCTCCGATGATGGAAGGGAGTAAATATGGGGGAAATTATAAAATTGGATTACTGTAGAAGAAAAGTAAGAGAAAGTTCTTCCTAGAATGCAGTTATATTCTCAGTTGAGCAATTAGATATGCTGCATATACATTTTCTGTCTTTTCTCCCARTGTAGGTATATTAGTCAGCTTTTTATTGCTATGACTAAAATACCCAACATAAACAAAGGGGGAAGGCTTTATTTTGACTCAGTCCATGGTAGGCTAGCTCCATTGCTTTGGGCCTGAGGAGAGGCAGAACATCTGGTGGAAGGGTGTGGCAGAGCAGAGTTGTTCACCTCATGGCATGGCAGCTGGGAAGCAATTGGGAGAGCATTAAAGACCCTTCCAGGGTATGCCCCCAGTGACCGAGTTTCTGCAACCAGGCCCCACAGCCTGTAGTTTCTACTGTCTTCCATTTGGTTATCAATGGATTAATCCACAGGTGAGGTCAGAGACCTCATTAGCCAATCACTTCCCGGGAGCTCCACCTCTGAACATTGCTACATTGGGGACCAAACCTTCAGAATATGAGACTTTGAGGAACATTCCAGATCCAAACCATAGCAGTAGGTAATCGGAGCTGGAATACAAGAAAAACTGCATGAGTTCAGGCAACTAAGAAAGCTGACCAAGGGTCTTAGGACAAAAGACAAGACTTAGACAAGATCCACTACTAAGTTTTCAGGGTGCATTAGATCTGTTTAAGCCAGGAGGAAACTAGACTAGATGAAGTGTTGAATAAAGAGTTAACAGTTAGAGGGGAAAGTAGTTTATTGTACTTTGGTAGTGAAATTCTTTTGAATAAAACTCTAAATTTTGTATCCAAATTACATTAACAGTAATAGATATTTATATTTATCTGTTTTGAGGCATTCTATTTTTATGGAAAAGGTAGAATTAAGTGAGACATCTACAATGATCTTTGATTCAAATGAGGAAGACTGTGAAGGTCAGAGTGATCCGACCATGCATTTAGGACCCAGGTGTTTGTGTTAAACTGTAGGCAATTCCTGGGAAGAAATACATGATCATGACACTCATTCAGTAAATAATTATTAAGTGCCTACTGTGTGTCAAGCTGTGAAACCAGGCCTACAAAGTTGGGACAAATGTTCTGTGGTTTGAAAGAAACATTTGTCTGACAAAATACAGAGGTGGAATTGAAGATGTAAGGAGCCCAGTAAAGGCTATCATACCAACTCGGGGAGGTCAAAACTACAGCCCTATAAATTACAGAATTCCAATGGGAAGAGGAGAGAAATTTTATTTTTTTAAAAAAGCTTTTTGTGAGGTATGCTTGCAGCCATGATTGACCCAAGAATGAACCCCCAAGAACGAATGGGCTTTTCTAAGGAGCAAAGAGGGTAAGGAATTAAGTCAGTGAGGGCCAAGAACTGATGCATAAATGATGTCTTGATGGCTAGAGTTACATATGGAGATGATTTGGCATAATAATAATGCTGATTGGAACACTAGGTCTTGAATTTCACACCAGGAGCTTTCAAACAAAGCTCTCAAATACAGAAGACTTAATTTAAATGTTTCCACCCTTTAGTAACAGTAGGCAAGGAAAATTTAAAAAGTCCTCTGCATCAGAATAAAAACACTTGTTTCTGAATCTGGGAAATCAAAGGATTCCAGTTGAAGGAATGTTTCTAAGTTAATAAAACAGGATAAAGCCAAATGACTTAGGTAGTGACTTTCTCACTGAGGGCGCTGAATGTTTTACTGCTGGTTACAACATTATGCCCATTTCCAAACTACCCAGCTGGAACCCTGCGACAGTCTAGTTTTGACAGATTTCGTTGATTATAATCTGTTTTTCCAAACTGTTTTCCTTTTCAGTTCGAAACCCAGCAGGACAGATAAAGCTTTATTCCAAGGGAGCAGATACTATTCTCTTCGAAAAACTTCATCCTTCCAATGAGGGCCTTCTGTCTTTGACGTCAGACCATCTCAGTGTAAGTGACTGCCCATGAACGTTAGCACAACGGTCCCTTTGCCATCTCCATCTCCTATGGTTAGGTTTTGTTTAAAAAATATCAGCTAAATGATCTGACTTCTGAAATAGAAAGCATCTGGAGAGCAGTTGCACAGGAAACCGTGCCAGCGAATGTCTGGAAACTGGCACAAGGACCGGTTCCCTGCCCTGCTGGGAGTCTGGTCAGCTTCACTGCAGGTGGATTGACACAGCAGCAGAGAAGGAGCCACACAGTGTGGGCACCTGGTCTCCCTCCAGGGTGAGGCTCAGGGGTGCTTCAGGACCACCTAGGGAAGCTGCTTTAACTGCTGCAGTGTTGTGCTTCCTGCTCTGGAGACTGCACTAGTTCTGGAACTGAAAAGTTGCTTTTCCTTGAGTTCTGCTGTGTCTGTACCAATGGAATCTCTAGTTCAGGGTTCTGTTCAGATGGTGAGGAAAAAATAGCCCCAGGAACCAATTTTCTGCTGAAAGTTCAATAAAGGTATAAATATGATGAGTCCCTTGTGTTCTATAGGACACTGAACTCAGAATGTCTAGACCAGTCTAATTGCATAACTTATTTCCAGAAGTTTTCTAAGGGGAGCAGAGATGACCTTTGCACACATGCTTTCCTCTCCCTTCCCCCCTGCCCCTCTCTCTTTCCTCCTGAAGGAGTAAGGGCCTATGAATTAATATGAACATTATGTRGTTTACACCTGAGATCGGATTGTCTCTTTAATATTTGTTTGAGGTTCTATTTAACTCCATGTGAACTTTAATGAGGGAAACTGGTCAAAACTCTCATTTTTTTTCCCTTTAAAAAATTATTGAAATTTCGTGTTCTTTGTCCCTATATTTAATATAAACATTCCTTGAATCTTTAAAAAAACAAACAAACAAAATATAAAAACCCTGCCTGACTTGAAGTTCAAAAAAATGAAGGTTTAGTAATATTGGGTACAAACATAACTATTGTTTTTGTCTTTCCAATAGAGCATTCTTGATTTTCTTTTAATCTCTTCCAGAAGGCTGGCATGGTCTTTTAAAGTTATTATTATTGTTTTTTTCAGGAAAACAACATTGGAATCATAGCTATCTGATTTTTGCCATTACTCAAAATACCAAGGCCCTGGATTTTCATATGTTCTCCTTTCACACTGAAGTATAGGAAGCCTAATTTGTTTTTTTTTAACATTCGTATGCAAAATTGAAAAAAAAAATTAGGCAAGATCAATTTGACTTGCTCTTTGCTTCATTCACTTTATTCATTCTGCCTTCTATATTCTGAGGTCTTAAATTTGTATTTAATTATTGATTTTGAATTGTTTAAGGATCGGAAAAGTCCTTGTTCAAATGCTCATTTAGGATTAAACTTGTGTTTCATGCACTAATTAAATAACTTAAATCATCTGTCTCTTTTGTAATGCCATCTTAGGGTTGATTCACTGTTGTACTGAACATAGAGGAAGGCACTGGTAATGCCCAGTGGGGTTGCAAGTTAAAGGCAAAGAAGTGTTTGTGCAAATTAAGAAGACAAAAGATCGTTATAAGGCAGTAACTAGATTTTTAGATCAGAAGGAGACCCAGTGGTGGTCTTGGATGGCAGGGCTTGTAAAATGTGATTGCAATGTCCCAAGAGCTATGTGATGAATTTGGATAATTTTTCTCATGGTTTCTCTGGGCTAAATCACATTGGCACAGTATGTACTTTCTATTTACCTTAATAGGGTGTGTCATGATTTAACTTGTGCCTGATCATAAACCTCTATCTGTACTACTGGCCAAACACAAAAGAGAAGACGTGCTCTGTGGCAATGCCCAAAGGAGCAGAAATGGCTGTAAAGATGCTTGGCTTGCAATGTAGAGGCCCATAAAATGACCATTGGAGGCAGAGGCAAAGTGGGAGGTTTTTAGCATTTCCCCAATAGTGTTTCTATCTATTGTGGCTGTTTGAGACACTTAGTAGCTACCAGTCTCCTATTTTCCCCTCCTATTGGAAGGATAAAGTACCAGAGGTATTATCTGAGATTCAGTTTATTGAGATGTTATAGGAAAAGTATGGCTTCCCAATCAATTTGATTAATTATTAAGTACTAACTCCATTGAACATAGTTTATTAAAAATAATTTTCAAACTAACCTGATAGTGTCTTTAAAATTTCAAACTTTTGTTATTATTACAATGAAATTTTAATATAGCAAAAATTAGAAAATTTCAGAGAGGAGCCTAGAATGAAAAGTCCACCCCCATTTTTAATCCTATGCCCCCACAAGCACTTGTATTATCAGTTTTTCCTTTCTCTTTCCTTTCCCTCTAAAGGTTATTATTATAACCTTAAGTAATATGTTTAAGCTTTTTTTTTTTACCAGAATATCTGACATCTATTTATTCATTTATTATTTACTTTTAGCTTTTCATTATGAGAATTTTCAAACACATGCAAAAGTGGAACTCAATTAATTTTAAGCATAGATATATTACTAAGGGAAGCAGTTGAGACTTGGGTGAGGTGTCCTGATGCATTTCTTCTAAAGAACCTCCTGCCTTTGATTTGAGGCCTGTGCTTTCTCTTCACTGGAAGCCAAGGGCCTTGAAACAGTGTTGGTCGCTCTCATGGCCAGCAATACTTCCTTCAGGCAAGGAAAGGCTGCAAACCAATATATGTTGCTCCAAATGAATGTCTCAAGTCATAGGCATCATTGATCACCTCTTAACTAGAACGCTTCACCAGGCATTTCTTCTGTCTTTACTGGAAAGTGTGGCTCCCCTGAAGGTTTTAACTTCATAGAAATAAAATACACAATATAAACATTATCTCTCATTTCTGAGTGGGTAAAAAGTTAGAGTTAGAATGGCCAAGTAGTGCTCTTGGGACAAAATGAATTGGAGTATAAAACTTCCCAACCATTATTGTGGCTGTTGTGATTGGCATGCTTATTGTTTTCTACTGTTCCTACGTCTGTGTCTCCTCTGGCAGGAGTTTGCAGGGGAAGGCCTTCGAACCTTGGCCATCGCTTACAGAGAGCTGGATGACAAGTACTTTCAAGAGTGGCATAAGATGCTTGAAGATGCAAACGCTGCTATGGATAAGAGGGACGAACGGATATCTGGGCTGTATGAAGAAATTGAAAGTGATTTGATGGTACAAGTTTAGAAGCCCAAGGGTTTGTGTTTACAGAAAGGATAGCATGTGTTTGGAGATCTACCATAGGAATTAGCCATTGGCTAAACTATCATGCACACAGCAGATGTTATGCTTTCAAACATTGACTCCTGCTTCATATGTTGGCTTTGAGTTTGCCATGTATGGCCCTAGTGAGCCTAAAGATTTATTTCTATTAGCAGTAGCTTATATAACTGGAAGTTCCCCAAGAGTGGAAGATAATACACTCCCTATTATTCTTCAACCTCTCATGTGTCCTTGATGTTATTTCTTGCCCTCTCTCCCTGCTTTGTGGATCCACTTTAAGAAGAGAAACTTGCTATGAAGTGAGACTATGGCTCTAAACTGTTTGAGGCTYAGGAGTTTCTGATGATACCTGTGCTATTCAGAGTATGGTATATTCTAGAAACTACTCTTTCCTGAGGCCCCAGTGGTCAAGTAGCATGGTCAATTGTGAGTGCTAGGGAGCATGTCCTGTGCATTTTTGAATGGAAATTGCACAGGAAACTTCACTTTTTATTATGGCATCTGTGGTTTGTTAATGTGGAAGAATGACTCTCTTTTTTTTCTGGTCAGTTTCTTGACTATGAGGTGAGGACTTTACTTTGGACTTCTCCATTAGTGAATGTGGGGAGTCAGCTAGAGAAAGAAGTCATTAGAGACCCAAATGGCTTCATATTGCACACTAACATGTTATCTGAGCATTTCAGCCCCCTCATATAAACGTTAACTCCTGGGATCTCTGCCATTAAGTTGGCTTGATTTGGGAACTTCTTATTGGGGTCCTTCCCAATCCACTTCTGCATCTGCATCTGCAATGTGGATATAGATATATTGATACTGATATTATGACATCAATATATCATAATTTCTGTCTTCAACTCATGTTCCTTGTCCTTCATACACTGTGTTGGAAGGCCATAGATGTTATGGTTATTGTATTAACCTAAATTATTCTGTATCCTTCACTGAAGCTATTAGGTGCCACTGCTATAGAAGATAAATTACAAGAAGGTGTTATTGAAACTGTTACAAGTTTATCACTGGCCAATATTAAGATCTGGATTCTCACAGGAGACAAACAAGGTAATTTGAAAGTGGATGATGATGATGTTTGGAAAGGGGGTATTAAATTCTATGATAAATTTTTAATTAAGCAGAATCCTTAATTATTAGATATTTGGCCAGTCCTCCACATAGGAAAAAGTTGAAATACAAAAAAAGAGAGCTAATATATTTCAAGAATTACTATTTTAAAACAACAACAACAACAACAACAACAAAAAACTAACACTGCCACAGTCTGGCTAGGCACAAAACCACGAGCCACTCAAACAGGAACAAACTTTATTTTTGAAATTCCCACCAATGCCCTGCATGCTCCTGGGAAATATGCCGACCCACTTACTTGGCGTTCTCCCAGACACACACACCAACAGGAAATCCCTCCTCCGGAATTCCCTCCTACCGCACTTCCCAACCAATGGGAACTCTCCAGGAGTCCTGTAGCAGGCCGAGGTAGACAGCAGGGGTCTAATATCCATTTGAATGCAGATCTTAACATAATCATATCATCTCAGTGGCTTGCTGGCGTCACCTTTCAACCAAAAATGCCATGCATCATTACTACTTGGCTATGGCTCTTAGCAAAACACAATATCTTTCATAGTATATCATGGGGTCAGTAGAGTTTCACACCAATTGCCTCTTATACCTATAGGAAACAATAGTACTAAAAATTTTTAACAACTGATTCATGTGAGTGGTGTCCCAGGTGGGACAGATATTGGCCTAGTACTGCAGCAGGACTTTGGAGTTGCTTCATGGTAGGGAGGCTCAGGGGACCTTATGGAAATAATCAGAGTGGTGGCAGGCTTTGGGGAAGCACAGGGGAACAGCTATTTATCAACTGTTTATGGAGATATTTTAGCATTTTAACAAACACTAAAGCTATACCAGTGCAACCTGTTGAATTCCAGGGCTGCCCGTGTAATGGCACAGTGAATACAACTCACTTTTAGGAATGACAAAATGCTAGGTTATTATGTTCAGAATATTGCTTTCCTAAGAAAGAAAAAGGGTCAATATTAACAGTAATATTTTAAAATGACCTTATGCTTGGCCATCAGTAATCTGAAAATATTCAGTTAATTGGCACACATGTATTTAAAGATTCTATATACTGGTTAGGTTATTTTTAGAGCACTGGGGAATTTATAGATGTGGTGAATCAGTTCTCCATATTTTTTATCCAAATTGTCGATTGCAAGGAATACATAGTACAGAGTCAAGCCCTCTGATGTATTTCTAGATAGAGACTCCCAACAGTGTGATGTTGATCTGTGGACACACTTATTTGAGTATTACAAATAGCCATGAATTTTGATTTCTGTGGTTTATGCAAAGTATATGCTGAGATTTTATGGATGGTTTTCTTTGATTTAGGACAAATCAATGATTCTGTAGCATTAGGTAGCATCTAATGATTCTATGGAGTTAGAATCCAATGACTCTATTGGACTCTATTCCTATAAAATTAGAGGAAAGATTGAACAACATCATGGGATTCTCCAGTTCTCTAGTAAGGCAGTTCTTGTTGTTTTAGTCAGTTTTTCATTGCTATGACCAAAATACCTGGCAGGAACAACTCAGAGGAGGAAAAATCTATTGGGGGCTCACAGTCTCAGTCCACAGATGACTGCCACTATTGTTCTAGGCCAGAAGTGAGGCAGCACATAGTGGTGGGGGGGACCTAGCCTGCAGAAAACTACTCAGCTCATGGTGGGGTCAGGAAGCAGGGAGAGGAGTGTGGAAGGAGTCACAGGGAAGATGAAGCCTTCCAGGACCTGCCTCCAGTGATCTCCTTCCTCCTGCTGTGCCCCACCTGCCTATGGTTACCACCCAGTAATTCAAACTAGGATGGACTGATTAGGTTACAGCTGTCACAATCCAATCACTTTACCTTTGAACATTGCTTACATTAACACAAGAGCTTTTGGGGGGACACTTCATATTCAGACAATAACAGTGGTATGGTAAGATAGTTAAATCCCAAATTTRTATTCATTTATTGGAAAAATGGCATTGTTGTATGCAGGGAAACTATAAAAAAATTTTTAAGAATGATTTTTGTTTTTCAACTGAAAATTTTGTGAGTTTTCTCTTCACTTTGCCTATAATTTCACAATTAAATATTAGCAATATTTACTGTTTGGCTCTTTTAAAGACAGTGTTTGGGACTTATGGCCAGAAGTTTTATTTTTTCATGTATTATTCTATCACAAGATCTTAGTATGTCTTCATGAGTGCGGATTTGAGAATCTAAAATTATTATTAAAAACTAAATGATACAAATTACATGTATGAAGACTTGAATCAGGTATCAACATACTTTATATACAAACAGAGATACAAAAATTGTGGTATATATGTGTATTAAGAATTGTAATGCAAAAAAAAAAAACCACAACAAAGTACATGTATAAAGGCAAAAAAAAAAAAAGAATAGAGTTACCTTAGATTAGGTAGAGGGAAGGGGATGTGGGATAAGAAAGATAGTAGAATGAAACAGACATCATTACTTTATGTATATATATGACTGTATGACCAATATGATCCTACAATATGTATACTCAGAAAAATGAGAAATTATATCCCATCTGTGTATGATATATCAAAGTATGTAAGTGCATTCTACTGTCATGTATAACTAATTTAAACAAATAAAAAATTAATTAAAAAAACTAAATGAAAAGCTGAGGATTCATAGATACTGCTACTTTTTCATGAGTTTAGTGAGTGGTAAATTTGATCATGGAAAGCAGGTCTTTGGATTTCCCTCTGGGTTATTTGCATTTTATTGTTCATTGTGTGCTAACATTAAAAGGGTGTATAGGCCATGAGAAAATGCAGCTACAACCTCTAAACTTTTGTATAAAAAATACTTCTGTTCTTAATTCTAACGGAGATAGCTATCTTTTATATAGAAACTGCCATCAACATTGGTTATGCCTGCAACATGCTGACTGATGACATGAATGACGTGTTTGTGATATCAGGAAACACTGCAGTTGAAGTAAGAGAAGAACTCAGGTAGGCCGGGAAGGAAGGAGGGAAAACAGAAGGGTAGGAAGGAGAAGGGAAAAGCAAGATCACACAGTTGAGAAAGTGGAAAGATTCCTATGTTCCGAACTTCATATAAAGCTCTTTCTACATATTTCCTAACTCCTATTTATTTTGGTGACAAACTAAGGTAAGTTTGACATCAACAGTGAATCATTGTCTTCAGGCCTCCAACATTTCCCAGGTGTTTTTAGAAAAGAATTTCAAGTCATTTACATTAAGTTGTCCTTTAAAATTGTTCAATGGTGATTGTCTGATAGCTCTTAAGTGATGATGAGTGATCAGAATCCCCAAGGACACTTGTTAAAAATATCAGTTCCCTGTCTTCTTTCAGATCTTCCTTTAGAAGACTCTATGGGGATTGAGAATTTGTATTTAATAAACACCTAGGAAAAGTTTATGGTCAGATAAACTTGGGAAACAAAGTTGTAGTATATGGCATGTGAAGCTGGAATAGAATCTTTCAGCATTAAGGAAAATAGATATTTTGACATACTTACTATTAATTCCAGAATTACACTGCTAATGAGAAATAGAACACTGTGACATTTGTGTGATTGTTATAGAGTAGCAGATAATATCTAAGTGCTGACATTGGAGTTAGCAAAGTAAACATTGAATTTTGAAAAATAATATTTCTTAATATCTATCAGTTTATTTACTTATTTATTTGCTTATTTATTTATTTCTTTTCTGTTATTTCTTTTGGAGACCTTTTTAAAAAGTGACATAATCATTTCCCTAGAAATTTTTAAAATGCTGTCTTTTTTTTTGTGAATATGATGAGTTACTTTATTTTTTATTTTTTTTATTGTTGGTTGTTCAAAACATTACATAGTTCTTGATATATCATATTTCACATTTTGATTCAAGTGGGTTATGAACTCCCATTTTACCCCGTATACA